TAGGTACTCGTTCGACGCACAATAGAACGTTCTTTAATTTCTTAAAGAATTCGTACTCCTAGTGGTAATAGATAATAGGTAATAGATGAAAAAAAATCTGATAAATCTTCCTTTTTTGGCTATAAAAAGGTTTCTCTTGCTGACCGGTATTAGCAATTTTGTTTTTTACATGTCTAAACTTATACACATGGTGTCCCGTAAGTAGAGGGAAATATTTAAAGGAATGATAGCAGAACCCAAGAACTACAAAAAAGTTTATATAAACAACGGTTCGATTTTCAGTAAGAAAATGGGAAATTAAAGTTTTGTGATTTTAAAGTATATCAGGTTGTTTGTTAAATAGAAAGTGATAACTAAAAACCTATTTAATTTAAGTAGTAAAAGATTACTTACTAACTAGACAAAATTTACTATAAATAACAATAGAGTTCGCTTTTGTTAAAACCATTTAAAGAGGACTTTAGTGTGTGTTTAGGCAACTTTTACAATTATGGCAAAATAATTCTCATGAGTTTCAATAAGGCAACATTCTAGTTTTTAAGCAGTGGACTGTATCTTAAGGGAATGGTAGGTAATTGATGCAAAAAAATAGCTTACTGTCTATGTGCCAGCCTACATCTTTTTTACCTTGGAGGGCCTTCTGCCTGTTCCTGATAAGCTTAAGTCTTATCTTTTAGATCTGCCCCCACCACTCGCCTTAACGCGGGAAATTTAACTGAAAACCATTCTTTTGCCAACCAGTGTGGTTTAACTCAGCTAAGGAGTGGGGGGAGATGGGTAATGAAGTGAGGACAAGTAGGGTGGAGGAAGCACCTGGTACAGAGTTGCCCTCCCCCTGAGAAAATTCCTGGATCCACCACTGTCCCTGATTGAACTCTGGTATAAAAAATGGCGCATTAAGATAAATAAATCCAAATGTAAACACATTAACTTTGTCATAAATCCTGTCCACCAGTTTACTTAAAACACCATCTGGCTTCCTTTCTCAGATACAGTCCAGTATCTTGGCTTTCTCTTAGACAGATGACCAATGTAAAACCCCTATACTAGACTTAAAAAACTGCAACTTAACCGACAATATGCCAAACTATACAAACTACTAAGCACAAAATCTAAACTTTCTTTTGAAAACAAGTTACTGATCTACAAGACAATATTGAAACCTATTTGGACATACAGGCCTGAACTGTGAGGGACAGCAAAATTTTTTAACATCAAACACATGTAAAGTCCTTCGAAGAATTGTCGATGCTTCGTTTTATGTAACCAACTAAACCCTACATCATGACTTCAACCTCCCATTTGTCCTAGACCTTATCCCAGAAAAATTCTCCAAATTTCACCAGTAACTTACTTATCATCCAAATCACCTTGCACAATCCCTATCAAGCACCACCCATTCCTATAATACTCCAAGAAGGTTAAAACAGCAGTGGCCCCGCGACCTTTTGTAGAATATATGTATTGGAGTTCTGGCAATTGTCAGATTCTCCATCCAAGACATGAGAGTATGTGGCTAAAGCGCTGTTGATCAATCTCAGCTGCCTTTAGTACCAGTGATGCGATAGAGAGGGGTTCTGAGGTGAGCGCAGGGTTCTCCTCAAGTCCTGCTTTTCCCTCCATGATAGGAGGGACAAGCCTCACCTGATTGTAAATAGTGTATATAAGTATGTATGTGTTTTTTTGCTTTGTTTACATCTCCTTATTTTTAAGTTATTTTATTTTATTTGCTGTATATATTTTTTGATTATTATTTTGCTTGTATTTTTATTTTATATTCTTTTGTACATATAGTGTGAATGTTATCCTACCTCACTATAACTAATGTCCAATTGTTCCTCACTATAAGTGACAAATTGTTGTTATATTCCATAAATAAAGAGAATTTAAAAAAATAAAAAGTTAATTATATGGCTGATATAGTTAAACAGCAACTTTTCTCTTAAAATCGGCTAACTGGAAATGCCACTTTGTACCATTAATTATCTCGAAAACGGCGGTAACAATTTTGATTAAACTTGTGTTATCAATGTAAAATCAAATGGTTTTTAATATTCGCTAGGTCTAAGTCTATCTAGAAACCTTAAGTTTTCAGTTCTTTTATCACTTCGGTTGGGGTTGATGGGTACTAATTTCTCATCACTGGTAAGCTCTCTCCTGCCTCAGCTGGTATTTGTGAAAATCAGCATTTGTTTCTAATAAGTGTTTTACTATTTTTCTAAATGTCCCAGCAGTTTCTGGTGTTATTTGAGTCTTATTGATCCTGTTAAGACATGACTTAACTTCCTTGTTTCCCAGCATATTGGCGCGGGATCCATTACTTCCCTGTCATTTCGAAGAACCTAGCACAGATGGATCTATGGAGAGGAGGGGGGTTTTGGGATGAAGCCTCCCAAAATGGTGAAATATAATTCTGTTTTATAAAAAAATATCTCTTAAAATATTATTGTTCCTGTAATTACATTTAATAGAACTTCAAAAATCACTTACATGTTATTTTAAGTAAGTAGTTAGTTAGTTTATTTCTTTCCTAAGTAATTATGGTTATATAAATAAAAAAAAAAAAAAAACCTTTCGGCTGAAGGCTCCCAAAATTAAATCCTGAATCCCCTAGCGGCACCAAGTACTAGTTTGGAGCAAAGATTCTTTAACCATTTCTTGCGAAGATGTACCTGGATGAGGCTAAGGTTCAGATTCTAAAGAACTCGCTATGGTTACTAGAGGTATTTCACGTAGATTGCGACGAGTTCTTTGTTAAGTGGATGATTCAGGATGGGAAGGGTTCTACCCTCAGGAAGTATTTCCCCACCGTCAGTTCCAGAATGGAGGCGAAGTGGGTGAGACCTGACTACTGGACGTCTCAGATCCTTACGGGGCACGGGGGTTTCAGAGCCAAGCTGAACAAGCATGGGAAGAACATCAACCCCTTGTGCCCCACTTGTGGGATTCCGGACACGGCGGAGCATATAGTCCTGAGCTGCGAAAAGATGGCTGGGCACAGAGCTTGGCTATCAAGGATGACAGGGCTATATGCGATGGAAGAGGCGGACTTACCGAGGCTGATGAGCGAGGACCTCTACCCCTACTTCACCGAGTACATCAGGAGATGGAAGGAGGCGGTGGGCCCGGAGCACTTCACCCTTGGGAGAGGACGCCCGCCGGAAGCCGTAGAGGAAGCGACGGAGGAAGAAGAAGAAAGAGAAGGTGCAGTCCCTTCCTAAAGCGTGCAACCGCACGCTGGGCTGCACCACAGATACCCTATATTGTCCCCAAAAATATAAATATCCAAAAGCATGTATAAATATAAACATATAAATAAAGAGTAAAAAAAAAAAAAAAGAAGAGTTTATTGGTGGCAGTGGCATGCGCAAATCCCATGTGCACTACCCTACTGTCACCGAACCCCGTATGCCAGAAATGGCCAGGTAGAGGAAAAAAAAAAAAAAAAAAAAAAAAAAAAAAAAAAAAAAAAAAAAAAGATTCAGGATGGGTAGAGCCACCAGACCGGGTCCTTTTAATAGTTGTCTAAGTAAACATGAATTGGTGGTAAAATCGCATATTTCATAATAAAGAAAAATGAAGTAAAAAAAAAAATAAAAAATACAACTCTGTGAGCTAAACCTTGTCTCTCAGGGAGGGAAGACTGGGCTCTACATATGTTGGTGATGAACAGGAGAACAGCTATGGCGATATCACTGACTATAGCTGAACAAAGTAAATATCTTTTTAAAATAAAAATTCACGATTTCCTGTAACAAGATACGATTCCTGTAAAAAGGAAATTTTGGGAAGCGAGGTGAAACATGGCCGTTGAGACCTGGTGTGAAACTGAAAACTATTAAAGATTTGTTTAGTATATTTTTATAATTTCAAACCTTTGTTAACAACAAACAAGGTATATCTATCTATCTAGTTTTTCGGACGATTTTCCAAATAGTATCAAATTTTTTATAGCCCAGTAACATTGTAAAGCATGAAATCACAGGAACAGAGGTAATGCTTTTAGAGATGAAATGTTTATATTTTTACTGGACAAGTAATTAGATCTGGTAGCTGAAGTACATAAACTGCAATTTTAAAAAAGAACACATTGTTATTTTGGCTCAGATCACTCTTAGGAACATATTTGTATCAATGAAAAATAAATTATACTCCTATTGTTTTGGAGGGTGGGAGAGGGGAGGGCATCTTCATCCTAAAGGGGCACCCCTTTCCCCCTGAATCTGCCAGTGTTATCAGGATTATTAATTATTACCAGAAAATTTCATTATTTTAAGTCAATTTGTTAAATTTAAATTAGATTTTCTTAAATGACTAAATATGACCGATATTGTGTAGCTATACTCCAAATATGTTAAATAAAAAATGCTTTAGTATATGTTTTTAAATCTCATGAAGCTTTAAGTGACCATAGAAGAAATCACTGTGGACAAAGATTTGAAAGATACCTGTAAAACGGGTCTCCTAGTAGTTAGTAATTATATTAAAAATTAAATTATAGAAAACAAATGAATGTAATTTGTTACTGATCTTTATAACATTTCTCTTGGATGTAATAACTTAAAAGGACATTAATATTCTTGAAAACCAGCTAGAGATAAATCGTGAAAAAACACATTGATCAAACACACTTTATCTTACAAATACTACAATAAAAAAGCTAAGTTGATTGTAGCTGCAATTCAATGGGTCTTTTAACAGTTCAGTATTCTAACTAAGGAAAGAGGGACTATCATTTTGGGAATATTTCCTGTCTTCTCTCTCTAGTCCAAAGCTGAAGATCAAAATTCATAACAAGGGATTGCAACAAAATAAAAGTAAAACTCCATGAATCTGATTCAATGCACCCCCCTAAAGTGTGCATGTGATAACAGTCTCCACACAGTTGACCACTACAAACTCGATATTAATTGTAGTATATAGAAAAACGTTTATCATGATAGAGGAGTTAACTAGGCGGGAAATATTGTTCATACATATTATATGATTAATATGGAGAGTAAGTTGTTAAGTAAATTTATTAGTCTTACACTTTATCTTGTAATATACCATTTGATATTTCATTTTTATAAAGTTTAAAACATAAAATTATGTGTTTATATTCAACTAGGTTCTTTTTGTACTAATGAAGGCTCTTATTTATAAACAAGAATAATTACTTTATATAAATGTATATTTACAATTCTGAATTAAGTTCAGTACAACAAAATGAAGACTACTAAAAGAATAACAATTTAAACAGCCTCTGTGATGATATCTGTATACTTCTTAATCTTGCTAGAAACACTCATGTCAACATAGTTATCACCAATACTGACGATCATTCCACCAATGATAGCTGGTTCAACCTTCAGCTCCAAAATAATATTTTCACCCTTTTTAGCAAATGCTTTCAATACAGTCTCTAGTTGTTTTTTTGTTTCCTCATCCAATGGCTGAAAAAAAAATTTAATGTTCAGTCAATAATGACTTCTTTTTTTTATATGTGTAAAATATGATATAAACATAAAGACAGCAAGGCAACATAGGTATTGCTATATTTAATTATTATAGTGTAAGAAAACACTTTTAATATTTTAAGTCATGAAGTAGAGGGACGGATGAGGGTCAAAACTCATATGAAGATTTTTCCCATTGGGAGCATTTGCTTCTGGAAACATAGGTCTATTCACTCGTTCACGAATTTTCAAGGATTATTTCATTGATAATTTTTTTTTTTTTTTTTTTTGGTGGTGACGGCTGAGTGTAAAGCAAAAACTTTAGAAGTCTTAAGTCTAACGATGCCAATTTGGGTTAAAATTTATTATAAATCACACTTTGGTTAGAATAGGTTTGGTTTTACCTCTACAACAACCCATGTATGCCAGAAAATGTGAGATAGGGGTGCCAATAAAAAAAAAAAATGCATCATTGAAAGCCAAATTTTAGTCAGCACCTGCTACCATCTGAAAAGTGTAATGTGTTCCTGTTCACAAATATTTTAAATTGTATTTCATGGATGTGTTTAAAGATAAGCCCTGCTATTGTTTTTGAGAAACCTTTTTTTTATATAACACTGAAAAATGCCAAATGTTATGTTTATTCAAATCAAGGCACATTCAATTTTGAATTTATAGTTTTTAAAAAATTCAAAATAATTTAATTGTTAATTATTTGATAATTTCCCTCAATTATCATGGCCAATAAAAGAAGATCAAGATTGCTACAGTACTTTTTATTTTAAACTTGATGTAAATAGTAAAATTTAATTTGTTACTAATAATTTTATATTAAGTATAAATATTGCAATATATTAAGTGTAGCTGTTGTTTAACTAAATGAGTAATTATTTAGAAAATATTATTTGGCAGTTTTTTAAATTTTTTAAGAACCAATTTAAAACAAATTTTACACAGAAGTTTTATTGCCTCTGACAGTCTTGATTTTTCTCTAGAAGAGGTTGATATTTTCCTTATGGTCATTATCAAGAGATCAAACAAACTCCTGCAATTATTTTTCCTTAGCTTTTCTCACTGCCACCTTCATCCTGTTTCGGAGCCTGGAAGTCCAAACCAAATCACAGATAATTTTTGGGCCAGTGAAGTTACAAGTTAATCCGATAAAGCAACCATGTATTATGTGGTCTATGATGCTGTTTCAACCTTCCCGGAATTGGGCCATTTTCAATCTGGAGAGGAGAAAACTTTGTCTATTTAATAAGGTACTAAAAACTCGTAAATACTCATTTACTTATATTTTATTACTTACATTACTTACTTGTATCGTAAGATAAATTGATCACAAAATCGTTAAAAAAGGTAGCCTACAAAAATATTGGGCCGTTTGTCCTATATAACCTCGTTAATTTGAAAATTTGGGGGTGTAGGTGATGCCAAACAGCTCAATATTTTTGAAATCCACCTTTTTTCTCGACTTTATGATCAAATTATCTTACGATCCAAGTAGAAAGCAAATGGGTATTTACAAGTTTTTAGTACCTAAAAAAACAGACAAAATTTGCGCCCCTCCAGTTTGAAAACGGCCCAATTCCAAGAGTTTTCGTAAATATAATAGTTGTAGGTCACGATGAGATTAAACTATTTACGAAGTTTCAGTCGGATGTTAATAACTTGATAAAAAGGAGTCTGTACCACGGGGTATAACATCAAAATTCAAAAACATATTTTAAAGTTAACCTATAACAAAAATGCACTAAGCGCTTTTTGCTATAAACCGATGATATATTCAATACATAATTAATAAAGAACTTAACCAATATACTTATACCCTACCTTTGCAGTCGTAACCTCACATCGAAGATCACCTCTGTGGCCAGCCATAATTGTAGAAAAAGCATTCAAAACTTGGTCAAGTCTATTGAGCCTACCATTCTCAGCTAAAAGACCAAGAAGGTTTGTGGATGGTGCACTCAACTTAATTTTATTTGACACATCCTTGATAGCATCGATCTTCAGATTCCTCTTAATGGTTGGATTTTCAATAAAAGTTCGAAGTTTGGTATCATTTTTCAATGTACTCTAAAACAAAAAGTTTAGGATAAAGATACGTGTACCTATTTAGAGATATTTTAAAGTAAGAAATATACCTGTATATTTTTTAAATCCTTTTCTACAACATCTAGTTGTTTCAATTTCACTGCAGCAGAATAAAGTGCTGTGGCATAACGACCTTCTAATCCAAATACTTGAACAGGTGGCTAACAGAATAAAAGAATGATCACAGATGTGCAGTTAAGATGAAAAGGAAGGAATAAGGTACTATTGTGAACATTTGGATTGGTGATGGAAGAAAATGGAAAATGAATCAATTGATAAAACTTTGGTTGTGGAAGGAAAATTCTAATGGTGCTTTGGTAATAAATCATTTAAAAATACCTTCAAAAGGTTTGCAGCCTACTAAGATAGAAAATATTTAAAACTTACTTTAATAGATTTTGCAGCGGCAGCAGAAGCATAATTTCTAACCTGAAAAAAATGTTTTGTAATCATAGGAAACGGGGTACAAGTTAAAAACGGAAAGGAATAAATATGAATATAACTTACAATACTCAAAATTTGATTTGAGGGCATTTTGCTGCAAGTTGGTGAGTTGACTTGAACGATTATTTTTTATCAGCTGAGTGCAAAATTAGGCTGCCCTCTGAATCTGGTTTTCAGTCTATCAAAACAATCAGCTATACTTTCTTAATTCTTCTTTTTGTGCTCATTTAATACTACCAGCAATATTTTTTATTAAAATATAAATTTTAGTCCTCGATTCTCAAAAGGTATTTAATTCGGTAGCTAACTAAAGAATTCACAACTTCTGGATTTTTTCCAAATTCAACGTTAATACAACGGGTGGAAATCTGAATACTGATCTTTCATCTCAATTTTATTCCTCTATAAACTAAAAATAAACAAAAACATTTTTATTTTTTATCTTTGATTCTAATTTGTTTATGGAGGTAGAATTTGTGTCATTTCGTTTTGGGGCCCTCCCTGATAGCGTTGGTGGAAAATAGATGAGTCGTTTTAAGTTATCATTAATTTGTGATTGTCTAAATATAAATATTCTGAGTATAATTCTTTGTTTTTAAGTACCATTGAGGCATCGATTGATTCAATTTTGAAATAAACTATCCTTCCAATGTCACTGTAAATCGACATAAGCCCATACATCGTCAGCACCATGTTCGATGGGATTTAAATCTGGACTACGAAAAAAGAATTTCTTGTTCATTAGTATAATTATACAGCAATCACACCTCTGAGAGGAAAGCTGAGGGTAATCAACCTCGTAAAATTTCAATGATAGTTACATACCTACTTTTTCAATTAAAATTTATACATTTCCAATGCTTTATCAATAAAAATCAAATCCCCGACACCAAATCCGACATACAGTTAGTAAAAAATGTCTGGGTACACCACTGCCTTAAATTATTTTACTGCCTTGAACAATAAAATAGCACAATAACTAACACTGTATGGAAGCAATATAATTGCAGACAATATATAGAAGGGGTGCCTCTCACGGAACAATTATATTCAGTCAATATTTTATGAATTAAGATTTTGACTTCCCCCTTGACACTCTTGACCTTGACCCCCCTCTACCAAAAAAAAAAAAAAAAATAAAGTATCACCTCCCTATTCAAATATATTGCCAAGAGGGGCACCGGAAATTTTGTTTCATCCAGAGCTTCTGAAGAACCGTATAAATGGTTTAATATTGCTCAATATAGTCCTTACACTTGCAAGTATATTGACACTGTTTCAATAATTTTGATAGAGCTACAAGAAAGAAAAAAAAATTATATCAATTAGTTTGATAGACCTCAATATTATTGATGCCAATGTAGCCCTTACACGGTCAATATATTGACGAAACTCGATATTGACTCAACAATATTGGCCTTTTAAGGGGCCCTTTAGACGGTTATTCATCAACGAAACTAATTTTTTAGTGGCTTCAGGCTCAATATGCTTCCAATCATACATTAATGGTTCCGTAAATTGTGATCTGATTTTAATCTTCCTTTTTTCTGTCACTTACCTATATATGTAATATATGGTAAGGGTATTACTTTTACTTACCTATATATGTAATATATAGTAAGGGTAAGTATTGTGATCGTGAAAAATTGTGAATCTTAGTTTTTAACGGAAATACACGTTTTGAGGTCCCTTGAGTACAAATAATCAACACCCGCAACATTTTCCTTAAAATCGGCTAACCGGAAGTGCCACTTTATATCAACGGTGAAACACATTTTTACATGTTTGTTGTTGTTACATTTTTACAGGTTTTTAATATCATTTAGATCTTATCCTCATTAATAGGAACTCAAAAATTTTTAATTGTAGTTATAGTCATTCTATCAACTGAAATGCTCAGAGACTGAAGTTATGTGTTTTATAAAAGTAGATGGAGTAACTAGGTTTTTATATCACTTGATTTTAAATTTTCTTTTAATATGTTCTCTTCTTCCATTGGCGCTACAGACCATTACTGATCCCTGGCCTCCTCCAATAACTTCCATCAGCCTGCACGCCGTTAGGCAGCAATACTCCAGTCCCTGATCCCTAGGATCGTCCGGGCATCTTCTGCTACGCCATATCCATATAAGACGCGGTCTTCCTCTACAGTTTGTACTAGAATGGCCTCACTTATTATTTTTTGAGCATCTCATCCTCTGGTATTCGTGCTACATGGCCAGCCCACCTCAATCTCTTCGGCCTAATTTGCTTTACAATGTCATGTTCGCCAAGAAGATCATATATTTCTTGATTACCCCTCCTGAGATATGTTTGACCAACTCTTCCAGATCCATGATTGCGCCGCTGAATTCTTCTCTCAAAAGCCAATAAACTTCGCTCATCCATCCGGGATATTATTCTTGACTCCGAGCCGTACGTCAGGACCGGTTTGAACAGCGTCGTATACAGCCGTAATTTTGTTGACCATGAGAGATACTTGTTCCTTAGATTTCGTTATAGCCCAAAGTAACATCGGTTAGCTATGATTTTTTTTCTTCTCAATTTCCTTTGCAATGTCATTTCCCACAGTTAGCAGAGATCTCAGGTAGACGAATTCATCCACTTTTCAAACTTCTTGGAGCCAAACTGCACATTATCTGCCAAGATACCAAATTACAACACGTAGTCCCAGTTGTCCAGCTGTTGATTCCAGTAAAAGGAATGTCTCACGAACTGCAGCCTGGGATCTACTAACAATATTCATACCGTCCCCATAACCAAGAATCTGAACCACGGGCGGATCTACGGGGCGGGCTTTCGGGCTGAAGCCCCCCCCCCAAAATGGAAAAATATAACCATGTTTTATGAGGAAAAAATTTAAAAAATACCTCTTAAAGTACTATTGTTCGTGTAATTACATTTAAAAGTACTTAAGGAATAACTTAAACACCATTTCATATAGGTAGTTAGTTTCTTTCTGTTTTTCCAAAGTAATTATCGTTATTTTTATGAAAAAAAAAGGTTTCGGGCTGAAGCCTCCCCCAAAATTAAATTCTGGATCCGCTAGTGATCTGAACCATCCTATTAAAAACTGTGCCTGTTATTTGGACACGTTAATATGTTGAATAGCAGACACTCCAGCGCATCTCCCTGTTTCATGCAATTCGTTGCAAAGCATCTCTGACAATTCGTCCTGTACACGCACCACATACATCGATTCTGTCATTGTTATTTTAACCAATTGAATAAGTTTCTTTGGAATGTTTAGTTCTCTCATCGCTTGATAAAGAAGTTCACGTAGTACACTATCAAAAGCAGCTTTAAAGTCTACAAACAGGTGATGCGTATGGATTCAATACTCTCTGCTTTGTTCCAGTATAATACGGAGTGAGAAAATCTGATCGACCGTTGATTTACCTTTGCGAAATCCGCACTGATAATTTCCCACTAACCTCTCCACATACGACAGAAGCCCCAATATAAAATATTTGAAAATATTTTATACACACAGGGCAACAGCGATACACCTCGATAATTTTTACATTCAAGTACATCCCCTTTCTTGTGGATTGGGCACAATATCTACTTTCTCTAAGAACTGGCATTATTTCTGATTTCCACACTGATACAAATAGGTTCTTTAAGGATCTGATCATATTTCCACCTCCTTTCATAAATAGTTCTACGGGCCAGTCATCAATTCCAGGTGCCTTATGGTTTTTAAGTTGCTCAATTGCATCACACACCTCTACATCATCAGGCGGTTCTACCTCATTGCACTGATTTCCTTCAGGGTAACGATCCAATTGGTCAGCTCGACCTTGTTCGAAGTTCAATAGTTCGTCAAAGTAGTTTTCCATTTAATATGTCTGTGTTCACACATTTGTCCATTATACCGTCAATAATTTTAATTTTCACCACTCAAGAATCACTCATACAGCCCAAACTATACTTTTTATATATTTACCCAACATATATTTTTCTCAGAATTTTTCTCTCCCATATATTAAGGAAACTACCCTGTCGTTTCGTAAGGGTACGCGCCTCACTGGCATACATCACTACTAGGGGTGGGCCATACCGGGCGGAACGGAACGAGATCCTAGACAACTTCGTTCCGCTGGAACGTAATCTAAGAGCAGAATATAAACTTCTTTAGGTTTCGATTGATAAATGTTCGGCAGAAAAGTCAAATAGGCACAAAAGGAATTTGTAGTAATCAAGGTGAGTGTGCAATGGCTGATTGCCGTCGAAGTGGATTAACGGAATAGTCGAATCATTCCAGAAGTGGAATGTTTCCGAGAGACTTTGGAATTTCGTTCCGCTGGAATGTGAACGCTTTGGGTTTCCATTCTATTCCGTTTTCATTCCAATCTGAGTTTATAATAAAATATCAAAATAGAACTTTGTAACTAGAACTTCTTCCAAGCAAGAATATGTTACAACGAAAGTTTTTATAAAACTTTTATTTAGAACCGAACAAAATTCATTTCTTAAAGAACTTAATATAAAAAATGCAAGGTATCAAGTGTCATAGCCACAACTGCAGTTCAATATTCATATCGTTCTGTCTTTGCTGCATTGTCATCTGATTATAATCTTAAATCCTATTCCGAGACTTTATAAACAGTTAAATATTTTTTCGTTATAACTAGTGAGGTGAGTGATTTTTTAATTCCAATTAGTAACATTAAATTAATACTAGTCTGGTAGAGACAGTTTACGTGGCTGATAATTCCCCTCAGCGGGTCTTATCTTTCAAGTTCACAGTCACGGCGCTTGGTTTTACGTCAGACAATCAGACATGGAATCTGATAGAAGCATTTCTTGTGACGAATCAGATGAAGAGACTCCCTTCTCCGAAATCAGTGAGACCGATTCTCAATATTTAACCAGACAAACTCTACAAAAGCGCAACAGAAACTCTGCCCTTGGGTTGGCGTGCAACTCACCATATAAAAAAAATAAATCCGCTAAATCAAAGCAGTCACTTAAAGCAGACCAAAATAAACAATCTAAAACAAACTCTCAAAATAATTCAGCTATGAAAGCTGGAACTAAACAACCTACTAGCACATCCGGCAACAATTCCGTTGTCACCAATATTAAAAATAAAGAGATTACTAAAACTCAGACTTTCACTGAACCGGAGCCACCACCGATATATGTAAGGAAAATTAACAACTTCATACAGGTCGGTCAAGAAATAGCTAATCTGATCGGACAGGCTAATTTCCAATGTTTTTTTCGTATGAACGACATAAAAATCAACACCGACACTAAAGATGGTTATAAAAAACATCTAAATCACTTGACATCAATCAATTATGACTTCCACTGGTATCAATTAAAAGAGGAGAAAACCTATAGCGTCGTTTTGAGAGGTTTTCACTCAACCACTCCCACTACCGCTATAAAAAAAGATCTCGAAGATATCGGCCAGAATTATATCTCCTGTTTTACATCCAATCGACAAATACCCACTTCCATTATTTTTTATCGATTTAGAACCAGCCCGGAATAATTCTGAAATCTTCGAAGTTAAAAGACTACTTTATTCTATAGTAAAATTTGAAGAACCGAAGCAGAAACCAATAGTCGTGCAATGCACCAAGTGTCAAAACTTAGGGCACACAAAGGCCTACTGCCATCACTCGGCGCGATGTGTCAAATGCGCCGGTTCTCACGCCTCTGAAACTTGCCAAAAACCATTAAATAAACCAGCAAAATGTGTCCTTTGTGGTGAGAACCACCCCGCAGGCTATCGGGGTTCCATTGTCTACAAGAAGCTATATAATCAAAGGACTTATAACATATTAAAAACCCAAGAACAGAAGAATCCTATTCAGGCACAGGCATCCGAATTACAAAGTTTGGCAACGTTTAATTAATTGCCGAACGAAATAACACTAAGATTTACACAATAGTCTTCTACATCAACAAATCATTCCCATCAGGACTCCAGACAACTATTCTGAAACCACAGTGAAAAATCAGTAGCCGCGACGTCAGATGCCTCAGTCTTCCAAATCTAAGACGCAGGTTTCCAAACCTAAGCCCCAGACCTCCCAACCCAAGACTCAGACCTCAAAATCACCACGTCAGCCAATCTCTCCTTATCAGTTACCTCTACGTGTCAAACTACAGCCTGAAGATCCAACTCCAGTTCATTTCCATCCTAGAATAGAATAGAATAGAAAATAATTTTATTCTGCCACGAAGTCCCTTTAGAATAACAAAAAAGTACAAAATTAAAGTATTATACCTGGCCTAAGTAAAAACAAACATAAAAAGTAAAAACTCCTCACATGCTCTCTTTCCCAAATGCCATTTAATTATGATTCAGCCTCTCGTACATCTCGACGAGTTCATCATCCATCAGATGCTTATCATAAGAGCTATCCCTCACAAATTCCACCTGATCAACAAAACCCGATCGACTCAATCCACTCCACCCTTGCCTCCTTCCTGAAAGACCTCCAAGATACCATTAAGCCACTAATCACCCTCCTCACAAGAGTCATTCCTTCTACTCCAACTGAGGCTATTCAAGCAACCTCTGTAATAATTTCCTTTCCATTTAACACTTTCAGCTGTGTATTGTCCTCCTAGTCATCCTCCTACCTACAATTTGTTTAAAACCTTATTCCAATCCTTTGGATCGCACTTTATTGCTGAAGGAGACTAAACACCAACGATGGTGTTGTCGAGCATCTAATTCCCGTGGTAACAGACTATCTTCTGTCTCAACTTCTAATAGTTACTTCATCCTCTTTCCTATGAATCCTACCTATTCTCTCTCCAACCTCCCTCAAAAAACGATCTGATGTCCTAGACATTGAAATGTTATTTCTTCTGTTCAATTATCCTAATTTTGGTGTCTTGAGATTTTATTTTTATATAAATTAGGCCAATTATCACCAAACATTTTATTGATACGCTATTTAATTTGACGTTTCGACCATACTAAGGGTCATTTTCAAGTCTGGAAAATTGTAATATCATTATTAGTTAACATTCATAATTACAAAAAGAATTTCTTATTACACTTAAAAAACACACTGAAATGTTATTTTTTGGGATGTTGAAATTTACTTAAAAATTAATAATAAAAAATTAGTAAAATAAATTTGGATTTATAATATATTTATTGGTCCAAGATTAATTAATTGGATTTCTTTTCTCAAAGGCCGGTTTATGTTTATCATGCTTTCTAATTACCAACATTACTTGTGATCATCAAGACATAAATGGGTGGCAGAATTCCCCATCCTATTCAATATTTTTTTGTAAATAGTGATCAGAGCTATTACAACAGATCCTGGGGGAGGAGGGCCATCAATAATCGACTGGCCCAGCATCTTGCCTTTTCGGATGACGTCATTACTGGTCGTACACGTGCATCCTTAACAAGAGCATTCGTGGAATGTAAACAGGTCTCAAAAATAGCAGGACTCAACATTAATGAAACTCAAACTAAATATATGACGACCTCCCGGGCAAGGAATGGTCTTAGAACTGGAGAATACTTTTTCTAGCAGGCACAGGAGTTTAAATATCTTGGGGCCAATGTAAACGAAAAGAGTGAAATACAGCCAGAAATAAAGTCACGTATGATGGCCGGAAATAGATGTTGCTGGGCGCTCACAAAAATACCTAGGTCAAAGGTATTGTCCTGGTAGTTAAAGAAGGCCATATATGTCAGCGTTATTAGACCAGACCAGTGGTGACATATGGAAGTGAGACATGGTTCACCACAAGGAAGTCAGAGTAAGTACTGAACGTGTGGTAGAGGAAAGTCCTGAGAAAGATTTTTGGCCCTTTGAGGGAAAGAGATCTGTGAAGGCAGAGGAACAATCGGAAGCTCCGTGATCTATACAAAGCCTTGATCTATACAAATTGTCCGTGATCTATACAAATTGTCACCTGCATCAAGACAAGTAGAAGCTCCTGGATGGACACCCTGGTGGAGGACAAAAAAGAGGGGGTACCAGATTGTGTTGGGTGGAGGACGTGGAGGAGGACCTGAGGACACTTAGAGTCCGAAGGTGGAAAATAGCGGCTTTGGTCAGGGACGAATAGAAGAGAATTGTGGAGGAGGCCAGGGTTCTGCAAGGACCGTAGTGCCATCGAAAAAAGAAGGAAAAATTAATCCTTATAAACAAATTTCCTAATGTAATATAAAACATTTACTATCGTGATCAGCACTAGCGAATTCTGCCAGGGTGCGTCCACTCTCTTGGATGGTGAAAAAAAAGTTCCAAAAACACCTATTTAAATAAAAGATAAATATGACAAAAATTCATCCTCTAAGGCGAATTTTCTAATGTTATATAAAAAAATATATTATTGTGACCAGTACTAGCGAATCCAGCGAGAGAGGGGGGCCTCTCTCCCCTGGTTAGTGGGGAAAAGTTCCAAAAATCAGCTATTTAAAGAAATGAGAAATATAGGGAAAAAATCTTCCTCATTTTCTAATACGTAGGAAAAATTCACACCTAAAGATTTTCGTTGTTATGAATTATTTACGTTATTTGAAACAAATAAAACCAATTTATTTGTTCTAACTACTTTATTAATTAAATGCAAACATCAACATTGATATTAAATGTTGTTCAAAGTGAAGGTATATCCGCAAACGTTTGGTTTAGGAGATGGATTAGATAGAATACTAATACGGCCTTTTATCCCTAACCGTATAAAAACTATTGGCAACATAAGAATTAATGCAATTTGGAATTAGCATTGGGAACGCTCAATAACATTTATCCGTTTGTAAGAGACTTTCGCAGAGTACTCATCATTACGCCTTCCATTAATACTAATGGTGAATATGCCGACATGGTGAATATGCCGATATTCACAAACTTGAATCTTGTGAAACAATAACACATATCCAATGCCGTTCTGCCACTGCTGCTGTTGAAGAAAGATCCCTGTCGTAATGCTCAAGGAAATAACTTTGAACAACATTTAATATGAATTGAATGTTTACGTTTATTTAATAAAGTAGTTGGAGCAAATAAATAAGTTTTATTTACTTAATATGACGTAAATAATTCATAACAATGAAAATCATTAGGTGTGAATATCTCCTAAACAAAACATTTCCGGACATACCTTCAAAAAATTTCTTTTTTCTTGTTTTGAGGCCCTTGATTCATATTTTCAGTTTGGTTACTTAACCCTGAAACACCCTGTACAAATAATTTTCTAATAAATATAATAAATAATGTTTATTAAAATTACTTATATATATATAATATATAGTAAGGGTAAGTATTGCGATTGAGAGAATTTTTGAATCTGAGTTTTCAACGGAAATACACGGTTTGAGATACCCAAGTCCCGAAAAATGGTGTGTGTGTCTGTATGTTAGCAGTCTAGCTCAAAAACGAAAAGTCTTACGAAACTGATATTACGTATTTAAGATAGGTATATGCCTTAGATGTGACAGCAACTTTTTCCTCAAAATCGGCTAACCGGAAGTATCACTTTTTTTTATAATAGAAATACCTTTTATAAGTTATTTTGTCTATTTTATTGTTATTAACTAGGAAAAAGAAATCGTTGCCCGCCAGTTGACTATTAAACTGTAACAATAACTGCAAATGTGAACAGAACAAGGTTGGGGACTCCTGTTCCACCTCTTTGGTGAAAAAGTGGTGATATGTCGATTAATGATTAGCCTCCATAACATATTTTGAATGATAATAAAACTATATATCCATGTTTGTCATTATTATACACGATGAAATGTGTAATACCCAGCCAAAACGTAAAAAGTATGATGAACAGAAACTAAATACTCGTTGAAAGCGCTTAGTTTTTAAATTAAGAATATAACTAGTTTTTTAAAATCTCATGTGTTATAAAAATTTGTTTGTTTGCAGTTGTTGCTCGAGCTGTTCACTCCTTGGCAAAAGTTGGGGATGAAATATTTATTCAGCCAGCTGAAGATGAATTGTTATTTAGAACAATTAATGCTGCAAAAAGTGCATTTGCAGAATTTAGAATGTGCAGAAGTTTTTTTTCTTCCTTTAGTTTTTCTCCTCCTCAGAATGACACAGAATGTAAAATAACTATGAAGGTGACCAAGCATTTCCTTTTTCCCTTTTGTTTTTTAGAAAATAAACGTCATTAATAATTTATTTTATTTTCAAGTCTTGCATAAACGTATTTAGAAGTGTCCATGGAATGGATAAACAGGTTGAAAACTGTGAAATAAGAATTAAACCTCAAAGTAGCCAGATAGTATTTCAGATAAAATTTATTAATTCATCAGTTAAAAAGTATTACCTTCCTGTTATTGAAAATGATCAGTTGGAGGTAAGAAATTCTCTAGTTTAAGAATATTTGATTCATTACAGATCTTTATAAGTTGTACTCTATTCTAGGCTCAAATACCAACTGACCAACCTAATCAAATTTGTGCTTCATCAAAATTTCTATCTGCTTCACTTAAAAATTTTAGGCATTCTGAGGATGAAATTACTATTAAAGTTGATAAGGATTCATTGTTTATCAAAAATCACCTTGAACTTAAAAAAGGTAAGTCGCCTAGATAATATGAATATATTTATAAGAACTATAAAATGTTAACTATTATCTTCCTGTGTAATATATTTCCTTATATATATATATACATATAATTTCAGTAACAACTTCACAAGATGTATCAGTTTACATGGCATACAGCTTAGGTCGTTTGATGCTGTTATATGCACTCTTAAAGTCGACAAACAGGTGGTGTGTAGGGATTTTATATTCATGACCCTGTTCTAAAATTGTCCTTGGGGTAAACACTTGATCAACAGTGGATCTTCTATTCCGGAAGCCAGCTTGATATTTCCCGGTTTCCCGTTCTGCAAATGGGGTTAGTCTGCTGAAAAGGATATTCAAGAGGATCTTGTCGTGGCTCTCCTGGTGAAGTGCTTATTTAACATGTTCCTGTATGCTTCATATACTATCATTTGAGCCTGTTAGTGCAAGGATCTGCAAAATGAGACTGAGGGGCAGATTTAGGAATCTCACCTTAATATCTGTGTATGCGCCAACTGAGGACGAGATAAAACTCGACTTCTATCAGGATCTTGAAAAGACTTTTTTGGCAACTCTACGTCATGATATGATGATATGATTTGTTTTCTGTGATTTGAATGCACAAATAGGAAAAGAAAGTTTTGTTGGTGCAGTATCTGGTCGATTCATGATTCATAGTGAGACAAATAATAATGGAAAGCTTTGTCAGTTTGCCGAAGGCAATAATATGTTCATAAGGAGCACTACGTTCGAACACAGAAATATAAATTTGGGAACATGGAAATCCCCAAATGGTGTAATAACACAAATTGATCATGTGTTGGTTCAGAAAAGGGATGCAACGTCAATTATTGATTTCAGAGCAGTGAGGGGACCAAACTGTGACTCTGATCATTATGTGCTTAAATTGAAGCTCAGACAGCGTCTTGCAGTGATAAGAACTGATCAACGGCACTGTAGGAAAAGGTGAGAGATTGATAACCTGAAAGACCCTGAGATTGCTGAGAGATCTAGAACATCACTAAATAGGAATCTGATAGACAGTCAGGACGATGAGGGAGAAGAATGTGTTGACAAAAAATGGAAGAGAATTAGAGGAGCTATTGAAAAGTCAGCAGAGGAGGAGATAGGTGAGAAGAGTAGGTAAAGGAATGAGGAGTGGTTTGATGCTGAATGCCTTGAAGTTCCGCATTAAAGAAATCAATGTAGGACGGTGATGTTGCAACGCTCTACAAGACAAACTTCTACGGTATATAGAGAAAGTCGGAAAAAAGCAAAGAAGGTTATTTGAAATAAGAAACGGAATTTTATGAAAAGGAAAATAGAGCAGATTAAGGAATTGAGAGCAACAAATGAGACAAGGAAATTTTATGGAGCAGTAAAGTTTATGAGTCAGGGTTTTCAGTCAAAAATGACCGGATGCAAAGATAAAAATGGCATGGTAGTAGAGATCTCCTAGAAAGAGAGTTCTAGGTAGATGGGAAGAGCACTACACAGAATTGCTCAAACCATAGTGGTAATGAATGTATGGTTGGCAATGATGAAGAAGGGTGTGTTGATGACCTGGAGCCATTGTCTATAGAAGAGGTGACTGAGGCAATTGAAAAATTAAAAAATAACAAAGCATCTGGGAAGGATATGCTGGTTGCGGAATTCTTTAAGTACGGAGGAGAAGAATTGATAAGCCAAATACATTTACTGTTTGAGGAAGTTGGGAGTGGTGAAATCATGCCTCAGGAGTGGTGCACCAGTCTCATGTGCCCGACATATAAAAAAGGAGATAAACTCCAATGCGAGAATTACAGAGGTATTTCTCTATTGGCTGTAGCCTATAAAATTTTTTCAAACATCCTTTCTGTGAGGCTCAACTTATTTGCTGAGAACATACTGGAGGAAAACCAGTGTGGATTTAGGAAGGGGAGAGGAACAAGTGATCAGGTCTTTGTGATAAGGCAGATAATGCAAAAAGCCTGGGAATATAAGATTGACCTGCATATGCTGTTCATAGATTACTGGCAAGCTTTCGATAGAATGATAAGAAGCAAATTGATAAATGCCTTACATGAGTCCCAAATTCCAAAAAGATAAGACAAAATACATGTATGTCGGAGCCGACAATGAGTCTGGTTCACAGAGCATTGAAATATGTGGTCTCACCTTCGAGTGTGTCAAAAAATTCACATACCTGGGAGTGGAAGTGAATTCTGAAAATAAAATTGCTGCTGAGGTGTACAAGAGGATCATGGCTGGAAACCGGGCGTACTATGCCAACCTAAAATTTTTTCGATCATCGCTTCTGTCACGAGAAACAAAGATAAGACTTTAGTAAGACCTATGCAGACTTGATAGAGAGAATTGGCGCAGTGAGAGGAAGCACCTGGCCGAAGATGAGAAGGCTTACACAGGACAGGGACCGTTGGACAAGATAGTCAGAGGCAGCTACTCCACGCTTAGCAGCACACAGGAGATAGTGAGAGAAGAAGAAGAAAAAGTAAGACCTATTGTGACTTATGCAGCGGAGATATGGACCCTTTGTACTAGCACAATTAGTATACTGAATATTTTTTAAACAAAAATATTGAGAAAAATTTATGAAGCTGTTTGTGAAGAGGGTGTGTGGAGGTATAGAAAAAATGCGGAGCTATATGAATTATATAATAGTGCCAACATAGTTAATTTTGTTAAAATTAAGCGTATGGAACGGTTAGGCCACGTGGTTAGAGTGGACTACAGCAGGATGTCTTATAGGGCATTGTTCTCCACAATGTATGGCACAAAAAGAAGGGGAAGACAAAGGAAAAGATGGCTACAAGATGTTGAGAGCGACCTTAGAACACTGGGCGTGAGAAATTGGAAGGAAAGAGCGAGCGATAGAGATGATTGGCATGCTATAATTCAGGAAGACAAGGCCCACTCTGGGCTGTAGAGCTAAATAGGAAGTAAGTATGTATGCTTCATCATCCTCTTTCAAATTTCTCCTCTTCAAACACCTACTCGATTCCCAATCTGATTGATCACGAAATGCACTTAAAAACCTAAGCTGTAAGAATCTCAAAGTATACCCAGCTACTTTGATTATTTTGTAATTCATTGATATTTTGTTTACTTAATTTACTTTCTTTGTTTATTTTGTATTTATACACGTTTTTATATCTTTTTACTATCTATAATTTTATTTTATTCCTAATGATCCTGTAATTATTTTATTTTATTTTATGTGCACACCAGAATATTAATATATTTCTGTATTGGTAACTTGTTCTAAAGGGACACTATTTCCAGAATAATAAAATTATTTTGATTCATTCTTTGCACCATTGACCAACTTGCACTCCTCGTTGAACCATTTACCTCGACCCTGAAGCGATCCTTCCCAAGGATTTGTTCTGTTGTGCCGTCCAAAGCCTATTCCAGTTGGTCCCAGACGTCAGCTACTCTGAGCCTGTCTCTCACCAATTGTTTCATTTTCTGGTGAAATGCTTGGCAGCTTTCTGGGTCCTTAAGCTTTCCGATGTTCCACCTTTTGGACCTTTCAGTCCTGTGGCTCCTGACGATGGCAATCCTGGCTCTCATTCTTGATATTACAAGGTAATGGTCGAAGTCAACATTTGTTCCCCCTGTAAGTCCTACTACTAAGGAGATTGAATTTGTGATTTGCACTAATTAAGATATGGTCAATCTGGTTATGGGTAATGCCATCGGGTGATTTCCATGTAACTTTGTAAATCCGCCACCCCGGGAACAGAGTACTCCCAACTACTAGATTTCTCGATGCTGCAAAATCGATGACCCTCTTGCCGTTTTCATTGCTTCCCTCATGCAAAATGAATGAGCCAATCGTGGGTTTATATCCAATCTTTGCATTGAAATCTCCCAGTAGGATTTTGATATCAGATCTGGAGCATACATGAAATCCGATTTATGAGGCCCGTTCCAGGGCAACATAAAGGCGTCTTTCTTATTATCGCTTGAGGCTTCTGTGGGTGCATGACAGCTAAAGACCTTGTAATTGTAGAAGGTCCCCTTGATGTGGATGAAACATAGGCGATCATTAATAGGGTTGAATCCAATAACCTTTGTCTCATCCAACCTCTCACAACGAACCCAGTGCCAAATGAGTGATTCTTCTCGTTGCCACTATAATATATTGTGTGGAATTTTTTTATCCAACAGCCCATGGTGGATCCAGCGGATCTCCTGAATAGTGGTAATGTCAAGTCCGTATTTGTCCAGTTCTGAAAGGAGGACTTGAAGCCCACCTGGTCTATATAAAAGTTAAAATGTTCCACATTCCTAATCTAAAGTCCATATTACGGTTTCCATGTCTGTTACCATATGATCTGCCGGCTATTTCTTATTGAGTTCTCGGGATGAAGAAGTTTCAGAGGGGAGGGTTATCAGCCCTCGCCCTCCTAGTCAGGTGGAAGGGGCTGCCTCCTCAGAGCCTCCTGGCAAGCTCGTGGACAAGTTGCCAGGCTCTAGCCTACCTCATCAATCCCAAGCCGAACTAAGAGGCGTTTCCCATCTGTGGTATAGGGAGCCACCTGACCAACCCTTGTTTTCATCTTCCCTTCCTCTCCCTAGGGTGCTGGCCATCATTGGTAGATTTCACTACTTGCCAGAGAAGGGGTCTCTGGCTAGTTCCAACCATCGGCAGGCTATCTATTAAACATTTGCTACTTATCTTAATATTTTACATTTATATTTTAGACGTGCTTATTATTACTAGGGCCTGAATCTGAAGAAAGTTAGAATTTTAAGAATTAACATTGCTTAATTAATAAAATATTTATGTTTGTTAATGATGTTATGTGGGAAATGCCGTTTGCAAGGTTTCATGAAAATATCTCAGAATTCATCCAAATTCTTTAAAATCTGAATTATTTCTAAAGTCAATTGTAACACGTCAACTATTCATCTACAGCCTACGGTGTTCCACTATGGATATTTATCTAATGCCCAGTGTAGATGTACTGTATTTAGTTTTAGCTGAGCCTTCTCTGTCAAGGTGTGGCTCCTACGCTACACGTACATATTAAGTGTAATAATAGAATTCCTTTTTTTTTTTAGATTTCAATTTAATGCGGACTGAATTATGTTACCATCGCACTGAGTTTGAAAGTTATGTTGTTGAAAATCCTACGAAGATCACTTTCTGTCTTAAAGAATTGAGAGCAGTAGTGATGTTTGCAGAACCAGGCAACTTACCTGTCATCTTATCTTTTAATGAACCAGGAAGGTAGGTAACTAATTAATCATTTGAACCTAACTTTTGTTTTCTAAAACTGGATTGAAAATTGATACAAAAATTTTTAAAATCTTCTTTGCAGCATTTTACAAGTAATACGAGATTGCAAAATTAGGAAATATAATTTTTAAAAATGATTGTCAAATATACTTTTTTATATGTTAATTAAATTAGTTTAAATGTTTACAAAACAATAAAACCAAAGTATGCTTCCTGTAAAGTTGATAAAAAACTTTTTTCTCGGAAGGTCAGATTCATTGTTAGCATTATCATTTAAAACCTTTAAATATTAAACATTTAAAGTTTAAAAATTTCATAGGAATAAAAGTATATAAATTGTTGGTATAGATTATCTGCTAAATATAATGTTATGTTTTTTTCCATGGCCGGATATCTACAGTTAGAATAGTTGCACAAAGTCTGAAATGTTTCCCTGGTTCGGTATACTAATCTATTAAAACCGCATCATGTTAACAGACCTTAAATGTTGGGATGAAATGTCGAAAAAACTATAGACAAGATTTCTAGGAATTTAGGGGGAGACTGCTTTGACTGTTTGTTGCCACCACATTCGCTCTAAATAATTAAGTAAGGAATTGTTCACTTCAAAAGTAGACAGTAGCAACTGAATTCAATATAATCGTCAGTTAATTAAAAATAATGATTATAAACAATATCCTACTAAACCGGATTTATCCATACTACAAAAAAATAATAGGCGACCACCAAGCTGGACTCAGAAAAGGAAGAAGCATGTTAGACCAGATCTTCATCCTAAAACAAGTATTCGAAACATGGTGGAAAGTAGCTCAGGACGTCCACTCCCTATTTGTTGATTTCAAAGCAGCCTATAATTCTGTGGACAGGAACTGTCTTAGGAAAATCATGACTGAATTCCTGGTAAGTTGGTGAGATTGACAAAAGCGTGTACAAATGACCCTAAGTGTTGAGTCCTAATACAAGGAGAAGTATCTGAAGCCTTCAAAGTTTAAACAGGTTTACAGCAGGGGGATGGACTATCATTGATGTTGTTCAACTTAGCCCTGGAAAAGGCTGAACAACTTCACACAAAAATGGAGAGGTCTACTTCAGAATGAATCCTAAAATCATTGGATGTGCAAATGCTTGCTGTTCTTGGAAGTAATCGAGAAAACATCGAGAAACTCGCTAAGATTCTGCAAATTGGCCTACAAGTAAATGAAGAGAAAACCAAATATATGATAATTAGCCGAAACTTCCACCGCAATAATAAGATATGCATAGAAGAGAAATCATTCCCTAGAGTAGAAAAATTCAAATACCTCAGTTCCACAATAACTCAATGAATGACCAACAGTCAAAAATAGACCATTGTATAACAAACGCAAACAGAGTTTTCTTCTCCCTTTCAAAGGTAATTGAAATCCCGAAAAATCTCAAATTAAGGGTGTACAATGCTATGGTAAAGTCAGTTGTAATATATGGCTGTGAGACCTGGACACTAAACAGTGTCCTAGAAAAAATTATTAAATGATTTGAGAGAAAAATCCTCTACACTATAACCGGAGCAATCTGTGACCATAATACTAACACATGAAGAAGAAAAGCCAATAAAGAGCTGCTTACAGAAGCTATCATTATTTCATGATATGAAGGCACAGAGGTTAAGATGGGTGTTCTGCTGGGTTGGGGTCAATGTTGAGGTCTGCAGGATTCGGAGTTTAAAATTTAATTTATTTTTTTTGTTTTTTTTTTTAAACTGGTTCAGACGTTAACCACAAATAATTCTTCACAGAAATGCCCACCCCCTCTACGCCCCCTAATACACACCCCTCCTATGGCATATGCGCCTATCCCCTCCTCTCCCTAGATATTTTATTTTTTCTTATTAAAAGTGTGCAGGCAAAAGGAATTATGTATAATTATACTTGCTGCAGTCTATTCTATATTTTCCCTTTACTCAAGGTTTGAAAACTTCCATTCCAAAAATTCATAATCCTGTCAAAAAGCGCCCTTCAGAAATTCAAAACCTAATCAAAATATGAGTCCCTCAAAAATTTTGATGGTGCCATGAAACCCCCTTCTGGGCTCCCCTGATTCTTCAAATCTCTTCTTTCTTTCTTTTCATGTGGTTGAAATGTTTTCTAGGGTGTCCGTTTATACACTCTGTTGATTATTAACCACGCCATTGTCTGCTTACTGCCTAACAGATTTCACAGCTATTATAATTTAAAAATTATATTAATTTTAATTATTAAAAATGGATATTGATGTGGCACTATAAACTATTCATAAAAAAATAGGATTGCTCATTTTTAAGCGAAACTAAGTTATGAATTTTGATAAAATTGATCCTGCATTATTTTTTCCACCAATCCCAAACTTTTGCCCAACCTTGAGCCTAATCAACAACTTTTTTTTTGCTTCCTCACTACCGAAGGTAGGGAAGGATTGTAATCGTGCGAGAGGTTAAAAAAAATTTTGTGCTCAGAATCAAAAATTTTTACTTGTGTTTTACGTTTCAGACAAGGATCAAATTTGATTCGGTGTCTGTCTGTAGTTAAATCGATGTAACGGGCATATCACTTTCTAATGTTTATTGTAATTTTCATGAATTGTGCATGTTGGTGCATAGATGGTAGCATATCAATTTTACCGAATTCCATCCAGTACTTCCGCTTATGCACGCACAAACATATTTTTTTAGGTATAATATTATTTAAGAAATAACTCCATTTGGATCAAAGTTGGAGAAAAGGTAGATATTGGTGAAAAAAATAATATGGTGTCAATTTTATTGAATTCTGTCCACTACTTTCTCTTATATATGAACAAACACATTTTTCTTGCTACATCTATATCTCTAAAATCGCGCATTCGATTTGGCTCAAATTTGGAGAGAAGTTAGGGATTGGTAAACAGATAATCAAGTATATATGAATTTTATCACATTTTATTCACTGGTCCAAAAAAAGTACTTCCTATTTCAGATCAGGAAATGTATTATTTGGCACACCTATAGTTTGAAAACTGCCTAATATATGCCTAAGAAATTACCTAATATCAATTTCATTGAAATCCATTTAATAGTTAAAATTAATATAAATAAATAATTGTTAACAATATAATGGCTGTGAAATGTGGAAAGCATTGATTGTATGGAGTGGGAGTTAGGTTAGGACAATATTTTTATGGGATTATAAAATTTTAGGTTTTATTCTAAAAGTTAATTTATTCAGTATTGTTTGGTTGATTCCAAACATTACTGGCATGACACTTACGGCCATTATCTAGATTTCGTGTAATTTTCAGTAAATTCCTTAAATATCAAAGTTGTGTGAACTTCACGCATATTTTTATATTCCACCTTAGTTTTGTTCTTACTGAAAAAAATTATTGGTCTCATTAACTCAGAACAAATAAAATGTTTTATTTTTTGAAAACATACCTATTATTTATGTATTACCACTGTTAGTGCAAAAGGTTGTATGTAAAAATTTTCAAGTTTTATTCTATTTGTGGTAAAGGTGACATTTAGTAGTCTGCAACTGATATAAGCAGTCTGCTACTATGGAAAATAGCAGAGGGCAATAAAATATGAAATTATAACAATAAATCATAAAGAAATAAATAGTTTTAATGCTCTCTTGTTAAAGACTCAATTTTTACATACGGCCTTTGCACTAACAGTAGTGATATGCGTGTTTAATATGTACTAGAATTTTTGTTTTAATCATGAATCATCAAATATGCAATCTGCAAATGAAAACTCTTTCACTTCTTCATTTTCGATGATGAACAGTTTGTCGATATCAAACCTATATATGTCGAGGGATTTCTGAATTTCCGAAAACAGCTTCTCTCAGAGGTTTTATTCTCTTACGAAAAATTTTAAACCTTATAATAATATAGATATTTTTTAGCCAATGAAAACGGTGAGGAAGCTATACTAACCTTACTTGGCAGATGTTTTTAATTAATATATTAAAATGGTTTTTTTTTCATAATGATTGTCTTCACAGCCTGGAAAGTAATTTAATTCTCATTAGAAAATAAAATTTATTAAAACTATATAATTTTAAATTTTTTTGATTATTATTCTAATTATTTTAATTGTGTTTCTGCATTATGTTTAGGCCTGTAGTCTTTCAAGTAATGAATCATCCTGCTTATGAAGCTAATTATGTAATTTCCACTCTTCCGTCGAGTCGTGTTAACAGAAGTGGTCACTTAACTGGTTGTCAGAATATAGATTCTCCTTTAACGACTCCAACTTCACAAGGAATAAAAAAAAATTCTATTTCATCTACTCCTTACAGTTTTGTTGAAAAAGAATCAACCACTCCTATATCCAGAAAACAAGATAACATTAGGAGCAGTATTTCTTCTACACCAGAACCAATACCAAGTACCTCTTACCAAACAAGTATTGAAAAGTCTGTTCAACAATTTCTTAGCAAACCTGATCCTACTAAAAACATAGATAAAGAAAGTGAACCAAGTAAATTTTTGCTCGAAATTGAATCACTAAAGAATACATCTGTAGAACCAGTTCCAAGTACTATTAATTTGCCTGTCCTGAAGGAAGGCCCTTCCATGTCTGAGGCTGTGCCTGAAAGTGGAAATGGTATAAGCGTTACTCATGGATCACTAACGAACACGTCTCTGGAAGTAGTTCAAAGTGATGCTAGTTTACCATTTTTGAATGAAGGTCCTTCTACATCACAGGTTGTGCCTGAAAGTGAGCCTGCTGTAAGCATCAGTCATGGAACACCTGAAGGGAGTCTTTGTAGGGTGGATACTGTTATAAAAGGTATGGATTCTTCCTCACAACCATCTCCAGAGCTTTTAAAAACTGTCTTCTCAAGGTGCTTCTCCAAGGATCACTTTTTGAATGTCCTAGTTGGACATGATGTTCTCCTCGAGGAAAGCTCAGACCGAGAAGCGTCATGAAGTAAGACTAATTAACTAATTTATTTATTTTAATTATTTTATTTCAGGTGCAAAACTATTTTATAATATATTTTTCTTCCATAGTTTAATTTAGTATTTAAATTGTGTCAACTTTGTAAATAAACCTTATATATATATATAAGGATAATTATACCCTAAGTTAAAATAATGCCAAGCATAGTGCAGTGCATCATTCAAATGATGACCCTTATAAACTATTAGTACAGCACATTATGGTTTTCTGGATGACTTTCAGAGTATCTCAGTTGTGATTTATCACATAAAAGTTATCTAAAGATTATTAGTATATCTATTAAACCAAGTTTATATTGTTTCCATGAAAATTATTTTTAACTATTCATTTTCAATAGATAATTTGTTTTTTAAAAACAGTAAGATTGAAGAAAGGAGAGCGAAAGCAACCTAATTCCATATTAAAAAGAAAATGATTTATTGGTATGTAACAGTTCCATTCCTACATGTGTGGATTATAAGAATGCACCAGTTCAGGTGTCTCCAAACTACAGCCCATAAGCACCATCAATCTGGTGACATAGTTTATGTTGATTATATTGAAAAAAATACAGTGTTAGTCTTATTTATGACTTTTATTAGCAAGCAGTTCTTCAAAGTTTGGCAGTTGCTCCCAAATATTTTGTTGCTGCAATTTGTTTGATTTACACTTGCACTCTGCGCTTAGCACAGCTCAGTTTATTTTCCAGCACTGTATCAATAATGTTAGATTATTATTGAAAACAAATTAAGCACACAGTCTCCAAATTGGAGGTAAATAATAAAAAAAAATCTATCAATGTTTTGCCAATTCAGGCATCGTTGATGAGTTTTTATTCTTTACTGCAATTTGGAGACTTGAGGCTGTGTGGTTGGAATTTCTGTAATCATTACCTAACATTGAATTTCAGTCTGTTGGTGAGTTTTTTACTGATTTATACTATTGATAGTGTAATTAACCATGACACTAAGGAGTGTTGAACTGAATACTGTCCCTTGAGGGTGTCTTTTTTTTTAACATGTTTAATTCCTGAGGAGCTTGTCCTGTACTTCACAATAATATGGCATTCGGATTAGTAAGATTTGATGTGAGTAGTACCAATTGGGAGTTAAGATTCATGAAGGAGACTATTCTTTGAATATTATTTTAATGTTTAATACTTAAAAAAAAGGTCACTGCATAGAGATTTGTCCTCATTTTAATGTTGATAGATCAATTATCCCCTAATGTTATGCTAAATTATGAATCTTTTTCCTTCCTTTGAAGTTGAAATATTAATAAAAATCTAGAATGGCTCTTGGGTATCTAATAGGTTCTATAATATGGCTTGAATTAAAGTTCATTCATTTTATAATTTAATATATTAAAGAAATGAATATATAATGAAGAATGAATATATTAAAGAAATAAAACCTTGTTTTGCTGGAACTCTTTTGTCATTTAATTTCTTAAATTGTGAAAAAATTCACACTTTTGTAAAAAATAATAATAACACTAACAAATAACTCAAATTAATTGAACTTTAGTTCTGTGAAAATTTTCATAATTGTGTTTATTAAATTTATATGTTAGTGATTCACTTCTAAATTTGAAATGTATATATTCTACTCTGAAAGGTTTGTACCAGTATGTTCCAAGTTAGTACCGTAATTCATTAACTGTACTTTGCCTTTTTTATGTCTTTATGAAATGTTTGTCTTTCAAGTGCAACTCAAGACTTGATTAAGAAAATTTGTATATATTTATTAGTAGTTTATAAGAATGTAATAGTTAGAATTTGTGGCTTAGTCATGGTGTAGAAAATTATGTGATACTGTAAGTAAAGAATTGCTCAACATGAGAAACAAAAATGGCCAAATTGTTATATTTAAAATTATTTATTTATGTTTTTTTTTGTGATACCAGTTTTATTTAAAAACATTAAATTACTTTCTTTCTTTTTTTTTTTAATTTAGAATGGGAATAAAATTCCTGTAGTTATATTATTAATTAATTTGAATGTTTACCTGTTACATTTTTAATTAATTTTAGCTTATTGGATTCCTCTTATAAGCATTCTTGAAATCTATATTTGATAAAATTATTATAAAATGTGTGGTTCATATATTGTAATTTTTCAATTGATACCAGTTCCGCCCTCCAAAAATTATATATAATTCATTCATTATTATTTATGAAGATGGTGAACTTTAAAATTTAGTTATTTAAATCATAATATTTTAGTTTCTGTTATCTTTTATTATTAATTATGTATAATATGTGATTAATGTAATTTATTTTAATTTTTTGTTGCTAAAAATTAGTTCATTGTCTATTTTATATCTAAAATATTCGATTAGCTCTAACAAGTGTGTATATGTGCATTTGTAACATGCCTGATCCATCTGTGTGAGTTTGTATATGTTTAAAATTTTTAATTAATAATTTATGTATTACAACCATTGCTGTAAAAATTATCAAGCCAATAATTTTATGCCAACGAATTCTACGATATTGATTAATTAATGTTAATTTTTAAGTTAAAGTAATGAAAATGTTGATGGAAAAGCTACTTCCATATTACCCCTATAAGCTGATGAATAAATTGGAATATTCAGCTAGCTGTGAAAACTAGAGATGAGAAATAAGTTTCTTATTAACAATTCTTTTTATCTTCTTTTTTTTTCTTTAGATTAAAAACGAACTTTTTATTTTTTAGAATTATTTTTTGAAAAAAAAAATAACAAACCTTCTCAAACCTTATGGTTTTCAGAAAAAAACAACTTTTTAACATATTGAAATTAAAAGCTTCAAATATATACTAAGAAAAATTCATGAATCTTATAAATATGAAGGAAGTTTAAATTAGATAGAATTTTTTTTTTTTTTTAATTTTATACATTAGATTTTGGTCTGGGTGTATAAACTGTAAATGAAATAAAATTTAATTTTATTATGCGGATGATCCTGTAGAACAAATTATAAATACTAAATAAATAAAACATGACAGTATGGCCTTACATTAAATTAAATATTTATATTTATATAATAATATGGAATTACAAATAAAGTACAAGAGTGAAAAAAACTGTACATGTGTATAAATAAAATAACGAGAAAGAAAAAAAAAATAGTAATGTAAATAAGCCTAGGTTTTGAATATCTGAATATGAAATGCTTGTAGAACAGTAGATTCCAAAATTAAACATAAAAATCCACAAACAATAGAACACGACTGAGAAATTTCTTAGAACAAAACCGACCAATTCCTTGTGAATCGGAAATCGCCAATTCCTGAGGAATCCAGGATCGGCGAATCAACTGGATCGATTTAGCGGTCCGTTCTAGGAAATCTTCCAGCTTTATTGCATAGTCCACTGAGTTGTTTTGTTTACTTTCCAAATCTGCTCTTCTACTAGCTTTTCGTTCTTCATGCATTTATAACTCACACTTATTTACATTACTATTTTGTTTACGTGTTTATTTTTTCTCTCGGTTTGTTTTATTTATATATATACAGTTTTTTCTCTCTCGTACTTTTATTTTTAATTACCTATTATTAAGTTAATATTCCATACTTCAGATATTCATAACCTATGTTATTTATATCACTATTTTGTTTATTTTTTCTCTCTTATACTTTAATTTTTAATTACCTATTATTATATAAACATTTAATTTAACATTTCAATTTTGTTTATTTATTTATTTTTTCTCTCTGTTTGGTTTATTTATATATTTATAATGTTTATTTATATAGAGTTGATTTTTCTCTTGTACTTTTGTGACTCATGATTTTTTCATGTAAATCGCTTGAGAGTAAGATTCTTTCAGAGGAATCGACTCTGATTCAATTCTCGATTCATCTGCCCATCTCCAGTGGAAGCCCTAGTGCAATTTGTCTCAAATGATGAAATATGGCTTCCAAGTTATTATTTGAGACTTACATAAATTGAAACCCTCATCTTACTTATCCTAGTAGAATACGGAGTAATTTATTTTATATCTCTGTAATTTGAAGGGTCTGACTCTTGGTTCAAGAAAACATTTTAAGTTATGATCATAGAGTAATGGTGAGAGAGTTTCGAAACATTATGTTTTCTGGCACTAATCACCAAACAAATTCTTATTATAAATATATAATTTTGTGATGTCGTAAATACCAACACCAAGTTGATGAAACATTTGAAAGACTAGTGTAGAGATGTGAAGAATGTTTGTTTACTTTTCTTACATCCACCTTACATAGAGTATAAAGTAAAAATAATTATTGTGATGCAACCATTGTAATTTCACTTTTTTATTCTATAATAAAATATTTATCATTGTGAATTTTATCAAAAAAGTGCTAACGAAATAGATCATTGTTAAGGGAAAAGGTATTTAAGTAGATTTTCCATTTATGCTGCCTGGAAAATTTTTTTTTTTCCAATATAATTAAAAGTATTTCAGTTTTGTAACATTTTAGTAAGAAACAATCAAGATATGAAAGATTGTTTATATTCTGAATTTTAATAAAACCTTCTGAGTGATTGTGGAATGTGAAACAGATATAAAAATCAAAAGAAATCGTCGATCTTGTTACCGACTAAATATAAATATCTTACAATGTTAATAAATTATTGTTAAAGTACAGCTTACTCTCTCATGATGATAGTACTTAAATATTCTAATGTTGAAATAAATTCGTATCATGTAATATCATAAATGTATATTTGATGGAGCTTTTTATTTTTGAAGATAGATTATATATTTGTTATAATCTAATAACTGATATATTAAGACTATTGATTTTTTTTTTTGGCTTGACATAATTTGAAAACCAATGGAGAAAAACAGGTGATATCACTTTTTTTCCCCTAAATTGAGTTATTTTCTGTTTATAATAGATATTGGAAATCTATGAATTACCAATCTAACAGATTGAACATGTAAAAGAAAGGTTTCGTCCCGTTAAATAATTTCTTTACAAAATAACAATAATAGAGAATAAAGAGCTATGTCCAACTTTAAATTTTCTTCTCTTATTGAAGTGTTTTGTATCATGTCTGTTTTCTCCCATGGTCTCCATTTTAAAAAGTATAACCAATAGGTTCTTTTGACAAATTTAACTTCCTTTAAAACTTCTTTTATTAATTTAGGTACTTCATTTTATGTTCATGTTTTAGGTAAATGTTCCTCTTCAACAGAACATTCATTCCTATGAATTTCTGTTTGTATACACCATTTTTCTTTATGTTCTATTTGTAATTTAACAATTTTTTTATTAAATATAAATTCTTACACTGTTTTTTCACATAGTCAGAATTCTAATTTTTAGTCAATAGAAAGGCTCCTGGTTATGAAAACAATGTAATAACCAGTAATTCAATAAATAACAACAGGAGCCTCAAGAACAATGATGAATAATTGAAATCCATGGAAAAAAGTATTTTGATGATAGGAAACATTACTTCAAACCTTAAATGTAAATAATAGTACTCAAATAATAAAAAAATTGTAAAAAAGAAAAATTTGGGTAATAAACCTATGAAAAAACCGTACTTCAAAACTAGCAAGAAAGTGTAATAACTAGTTTGTTTAATATATTCTTGTGAATTTAATGAATAACAATTCAAGTAATATTGATTCATTACTTATAAAGGACAATTGGAATAGCACTCGAGTCAAAATCAATTTTTTTTAGAAATGTGAAAGAATGTTTTTGAATTCCTAATGCTTACAATTATTTGTTGGGCTACTTTATTTAATTTTGTTTAAAATAATCTCTTTGATAATAAAAACTAATATTGCTCAAATGATTTTCCATTCATTGCATTTTACTTAGGGTTTTTTTAAAAAAGAATTGGCTCCGCTTTCAGTTGAACTTACAATATTCAAATTTATAGAGCAAAAAAATCGAATGAAATGCATTGAAAATTCAAGAATATTGTTCAAAAACATGTTTTTTTTAGTCACCTTAATTGTAACATTACAATTTTGAAAAATTATAGAAAAATAAATAAATAAATTGCCTTACATCTTTATTCCTAAGGCTTGCCATATTATCTTTTTGCTTAAATTTATTCTTATTTCTAAAAAGAAAAATCACAGAATGTGCATTTTTAATATTAAATTAAGACTCCCACAAAGAAATGTATTTAAATATTGCTTTGTATATTTTATAATAAATGTTTTAAAAATATAAATATATATTCTTCATTAATACACATAATAACTCTAGCTTTATTAGATTTATATAATTACACAATATACATGTAAATTATGTGGGTAAAATTGGCCAAGTAGATTAAATGTTAGGATATTTCTCATGGTTAAATTTTGAAATTATACAGGGCATTCCATAAGTAGAGGGAAATATTTAAAAAAGTGATAGTACACATCGAGATTTACAAAAAAATTTATATAAATAATGGCCCAATTCCCAACAGAAAAATAGGAAATCCAAGATTACTGTTTTTTTAAGTGAGTCAAGTTTTTTGTTGAATAGAAAGCGATAACTAAAAAAAAACATTTAATTTTTGTAATTAACAATGAAACTTGTTAATTACTCCACTTGTTCCCCAGTTAACTAGATAAAATTTACTTCAAATTAAAGTAGAATTTGTCATTGTTGAAACTAATTAAGGAAAACTATTGGATGACAATTATGTCAAAAATTGCTTGGCATTTTTTAAACTAAGCATAAGGCAAAACTATATTACTTTGTCACTAATATAGTCAAACTTCGAAACTTTAACTTTAACGTTTTTTTCTCCTTATGTCCAACTGAACCTTATGCTCACCCATTAAGCTCAGGTTCCAATAAGCCCTGGACAGATAAACATTTGATTGGGTAACTGCTTTTTTGAAGTTAAAATTAAGTTAGGCACCTGTTGCACTTTTATTAAAACCAAATGATAACGAGTTTTATTGAAAATATGAATGAAAGTATCTCAGAGACTAAAAATCGGACCTGCAATCTGAAAGAGAGAGAAATGTTCAGCTCATTTTCATGGTCTTGATAATGTGCTATTATTAAAAATTGTATCTTAATGGCAGAGGTGCTCAGAAGGGAGTTTCATGGTGCAAGCTGCGCCATCAAAATATTTGAGGAGGTCAAATTTCGACGGGGTTATGAATTTTATGACTAAAGGGGAAAACGTGGAAATAACACAGCAAGTGTAATTATATACGATATAGGATTTTTCAAATTCTACCTTAGCCTTGGTCTGTTATTAAGATATATGCAATTAAATATCTTGGGAGGAGGGAGGGATGGGCACCCCTGCTTAATGGGACGCCGTTTTTGAGACGAAAAGGAAAAAAAATGTCCCTGGGTGATCTAGTTTTATTCAGGAAATGTTTAAACTATTTTGGAATAAGACAAATTTAGAAATAAAAAAGTATCTCGCTGTCCAATTTGGTCTTGAATCGCGTCTGCCGACGGAACGCATCAACTTCCGGTTGCCAGACTAAGTTTTTTTTTTGGTCCCTGAGTGGACTAGTTTTGTTTAGAAAATGTTCCAATCATCTTCAAATAAGTCATGTTTTGATGACGAAGAAGTTGTTTTTTGACGCGCGTCTACCGGAAGAATATGAACACTTCCGGTCGGCTGACTCTCCCTCTTTTACTCCCTCGGGCGGACTTGTTTTGCAAAGAAAAGGTTCCAATCATCTTCAAATGAGTCAAAGTTTGATGCAAAAAAGTTGGTTTTGAAGCGCGTCTGTCCTACGAATGCACCCACTTCCGACCGCCAGACATCGGTTTTTTAAGGTTTTGGATGGTCTAGTTTTGTTTGCAAAAGGTTACATTGATCTTTAAATAAATCACTTTTTCAGATAACTCATGACTTCCCGACGAAAATTCCTCCTTGCTGTTTTTCTTTTCCAAGTCCTCAGAACCAAGAACCCTCCCTACATCCTGGAACTCCTTTACTCTCGTTCCTTTATCCACTCTCTCAATACCAGGTCTCAACCTATAGATTTATATATACCCCCTCCCATAAAACTACTTCCTTCCGCAAATCCTTCGTCATTCGTGCTACCTCCTTTTGGAACTCTACCTACCTCCATACGTCAATCCTCGTCCATAAATTCCTTGAATTTCCTTGACTCCTTAGTCAAACTTCCGCAAACATGTAAAATTTACTTGCGTCTGTACACTGTCTAATTTAATCAACTTTACAATTCCAATAACAATTAACAGTTAATTAGTTTGTATTTTGTATTCTTCTGAGTCAGACTACAGCTCATAAATATTATTATTCTTAGGGAACTGTAGTCCCAGAATAACATTATTTTTCATTTAATTTCAAAATATTCACTAGCCAAAACATGACTTCTGAGCAGATAAAGGAAGTGAATAATCACAAATCAAACGGTTAGTAGTTGGTCTTGAAGGTACATATTAACATCTTCGATGTTTTGCAATTATTTTCGATGCCTTGAGCATTGCTTTGTAGTGGACGGTGACTTTAACGCAAACCGCCAATTTTGGGGGTCACGGCTGTGCACAGCAAGAGGAAGAAATCTGAGATCTGCTATTCATGAGATATATCATCTGATACACCGACTTATTGGCCAACTTCACAGCGTAAATCTACTTGACGTTTTTATAAGCAAAGGCCTGCGCACCATACCTTACAGCATAAATACGAGCTCTGACCATTCTCTTATACATTTTGTTATCCTTGATGAGCGCCTCAATCTTCCACGCACACCTAAGGTCATTAATGGTAAAATGGATTGGGAGGTTTACAGAGCAATTCTAGATTGAGAACTTCAATCTCTGGCTCCATTAAAAAACTGATGAACTAGATGAGACAGTAGACAAATCTACTAAAAGTGTCCAAAAAGCAGCTTCATCTCTACCAAAGTCATCAAGAGTAGAACACTTCCTCAATATATAATTGCAGATATCCTCAATAAATAAGGGACTTGATCACGGCAAAGAGCACGTAGGGTATGACAGACTAACCACAGCCAACAAACCCTATGCTTGAATTTAATGTAATGCTCTTTGGCCTTCGAAATGCCTCGAGCACTTTTTGGTTGTTCATCAACGAAGTGTTCCATGACCTGAATTTCGTATTTCCATTCCTGAACGACTACCTAATAGCTTCAAGTTCGGAAGAGGAGCATCAATATCACCTCAAAATAGTTTTTGATCGTCCTGAAAAATATGGACTACACATTAATGTTGCAAAGTCGGAATTTGGTGTTCAAAACTACAGTTCCTAGGCTACCTGATCTCACCCGACGGTAGTAAACTATTTCATGGTCGAGTACAAGCTATTTTGGATTTCAAACTCCCTGAAACTGTCGGTGGACTTCGCCGATTTTTAGGTATGATTAATTTTTATAGAAGCTATCTATCCGAAGCATCTAAAACTCAAGCTATTCTCCACCGATACACACAAGAAACTCGCCAACAAGACAATTACAAAATTTCTTGGACTACTGAAGCCATTTCCGAATTTTAGAAATGCAAAACAGACTTACCGAATACAACAATGCTTTCCTGCTCCAGTACAGACTTACGTTTGGCTTTTGTTGTTGATGCCAGTGACTACGCAATTGGAGGAGTACTGCAACAACTAGAGGATGGTAAATGGAAACCTCTAGCTTTCTTTTCTGTGAAATTAAAGTGTGTAGAAAAAACTACAGCACATATAATAGGGAATTTTTTGGCGTCTACGAATCAATCAAGCACTTCACGACACACTCTTTAGACAGTTTGTAATGTACACCAATCTTCACCATAAATTTTCATTTATCCGTATAAATAAACACTGATTTATACCTTAAGCTAAAAAATGAAAAACCTAACCCCTTGCAACTATGACGCTCACAATATATATTTCCGAGTATTCTACCGACATTAGGCATATAAATGGCAAACTGAACTTGGTTGCTGATACACTTTCAAGAATCGAAACTATCAGTACCATCGTTGTTATGGATAAGGTAAAAATAAACAGAGGCCCAAGCCAGTGATCCTGAACTTTTGGCACTGAAGAATGGTAAAACATGGTAGAACTTCAACTTTATCCAATGCCAAGCGGCAATAGTTTGTGGTGTGACACCTCTATTGAATCTGTAAGACCTTTCATACCTCAAACATTTCCTCGATTGTTTTTTGTACAAATATGCAATTTAAATCACCCAGGTGTAAGAGCCACTGCTAAATAAGTTTGGCTCTAAAATCGTTTTTTTTTAACCAGATCAGAATGACGTCCGTGATTGGGTAAAACCGTGTGTAGCTTAACAAAGGTATAAAGTGATAAGTCACACAAAATCACCATTTGGAATATTTCACCACAACGCCACTGTATTTGCCCACTGGCTGTCCCAGTCTATCTAGCGGGACAAAAGTCGAAATATCGATAGTGAATTTTTTTTATGGAAAATGACATGCATCGACGTAATTAGAAACAGAAGAATTAGTATAAACAAAAAAAAACCAAATAAAATAGGTCAAATTGATGGAAAACATCGGAAATTGAGAACCTGTTTTAATAATAACGGATACTGGTTTCATAGTCAATAATGAGCAATTAATACTTTTTTGCACCTTTGCGTTAAGACTTTTCTCCCAAAATTTTAATGTAATACACAGAAATTATTTTTCTTTAAATGTAAGAACTGAATTCATAAAAAGTTTCGGTCAAGTTATAAGTAATGTATTTGCAATTGTTTAGAAATCTGAATTAAAGATCAGGTATGCAAATTTTAAAAAGCTGTAACTTTATTGGAACATCATGATAAATTGGGTTGCCAATAATTTCTTTCGGTTTTCAGGGTGAAATAAAACTCAATGCATTATAGACATAAAATTTATTTTAATCTACAATATATTGACCATTATTTAATATGACTTTTTCCCATCTTTCCACTAACTACACAATGTCATGTTCACAGAATGTCTCGAGTTTATTCTTAAAAAACTAATCCAAGTGGTTTTTGATGTCCTCTTTCTTTTGGAATTTCTCTTCATTCATGGAGTTCTGCAGAAACCGGAATACATGGTAGTCACTTGAAGCTAGGTCTGGTGAATAGGGAGGGTGGGGCAAGGCTCCAATAATTTATTGCGAATGACCAATGAAGTGTGGGGCCAACCGTTGTCTTTGTGGAACAGAAAACATCCTTCCGATCATTCATAACTCTTCAGGATGTTCTCCAAATTCGATGTTACTATATCCGTTGGAAAGCTGAATTAAAAAATGTATCTCGTTTAAATTTTGAGATCAATAATGTTCAACGGTCTGGTCGCCCACATGAAATTGAAACGAGCAATGTTAAGGCCATTGATGATCAAAATCCCACCCAATCAGTGCGGGAGTTTTCTATGGCCCTTTATGTGTTGCACACAAGCGTAGAAAACCATTTGCACAAGCTCGGCTATGTTTCCAGACTTAATGTTAATAAATAAAATTTCGTATTAAAGAGCTGTCACTCTCATTGGATTGTTATGTTACTGTTGCTAGCATATCAACAATATTGTTAATCAGAACAAATACAGGAACACACTCATTTATATTTATGTACAAATCAATATGTTTACTCTTATTTAATTTATTTTAATTATAAGATTAGATTATTATGTTATGTTAGTTAACATTTTTAACTTTATCTCCAAGCCTAATTTATTTGCGGGATTATGGTTTGTGTCATTTTGTCTCTATTATGGGCCCCAAAATTCAAGCTAATTGGATAACAAAACACATAAGTGGATAAGTGGAGCCATGTCGAAGCTATCACAACTTTTGTGATTTTTAGAGAAAAAAAATTTAAGGCTCCAGCCTAGGCGGGGATTTTGAGTAAAAAAATTTTTATTTTTCGTTTGATATGAAAATTCGTATTTAAGAGTTTTTCGAGGTGCGAAATACAAATCTCAACTTTGTTGGAAATACAAATTCTCCATAAAAAATATTTGAACCTACTTTACACCTTGGTTCAGTACTATTTGTTTCAATACTGAGCACATACTGCTCACAAAAAATTTATAACTTCAATACGACTTTACCAGACAAAATGATATCAACAGGACCTTCGTAAACAAACTACAAATGGAGAAAAAAATAAAAACCTACAAGGAGTTTTTGTTTATTTATACCTTATGCAGGCATTGAATCAAAAAACCATTAATACGGCTTTGATATAAGAGATATTAATATAAGGCAGAATATTAAACGAAAAATTTATATTTTTAAATAATATTTTAATCGTTACGCTGACATTTCGCCTACTTTGTAGGGGATCACCAGGGCGTGTTATAGGGCACTGCAGATATCAATTAATAGACTGGCAGTCAAAACAAGAAGGAATTGGTCGGGGGGGGGGTGCGGTCAAATAAATACTATATTTTTAAAATAGTATTTTAATCGTTACGCCGACGTTTCGACCCACTTTGTAGGTGATCATCAGGGCGTGGTATAGTCATATTATATTACGGTCAACCATCTCTACACCATTATAAATTAGTGAATAATTTGATGAATTTTCCCTTTGTGATATTTCAACAGTATCCACTTGCAATTTTTTTTTTTAAACTTATTTATTGAAAAATATTACAATCTGTCTCAAAGGACATTTATAATAGTGTTCAGAGATCACATTCGCACTCTATGTACAATAAATAAAATAAATTATACAGAAAAATAACATATATACAATAAATAAGAATAAAACAACCTAAAAATAAATAAATAAAAAGAACACATACATACCTATATACACTATTTACAATCTGGCCAGAGAACTTCGAGCCAGACTTGTCCCTCCAACTGTGGAGGGAAAAGCATGATTCCAGGAGATCTCTGCACTTCTCTCTCAACCGCGTCACTGGGGCTAAACCCATTGGAGACCATTTGCAATTAGTGTGACAACTTTTGACCTGTCTATGACAGACAATGCAAATCTCTTAATTTTGTTTCAGTAAACTTTTCAGTGAAAAATAACAGTTTAATAACTAATAGTCGTACAATCCATAATCAACCGGTGATTTTTATTCACTTTTAGAACTAATAAGAAAACTGAAACAAGTGAACCAACGAAATTTTTGTTAGGTCATACAGATGCAAGATAAGGATTTCAAAGATTTACAGGAATATCAAATTTGTCTTGTTTACCATTCCTTAATGTAACGTCTGACATTATACACTGATGGCTCCAAGCTAGGATTTGAAAGTCGGTTCAGCTTTGTATAATCCATTAGAAGATACGTCAGTCGTTTAAGGTACCGGGGTGGCTTCCACATTTACGGCCGAGGCTCTGAAGTGTGTCCTATCTGTAGAATCTTCTCGTGTGAGTATTTTCTCTGATAGCCAAAGTGTGTTTGGCTCAATCAAGAATGTTCACGGCTCCTCTCATGCTATTATATTTGAAAAATTTAATTTACTATCCCAATTAGATTACAGGAGCATAAATGCATATATTATTTGGTTAAAAGGACATAGTTGTAACGTGTTTAACAACAAAGTTGACAAGCTTGCTAGGAAAGCGTCTTTTACCGGTAATCGTCGACTGTATGTATCAGTAAGAGATACCAAGGCTCACTAAAATAGATACTGGCAACAGAAATGGCAAAAATGGTACTCTACCAGCGTGAAAGGGCGTTATTATAAAGATTTCCAACCTCAACTCCCATCATTTCCTTTGTTCTGATCCTATAAAGCTTCCAATAAATTCCTTACTTCCATATCACGCCTTCACCTCAACCACAATAGTTATTGATTGGTATGAAATATTAATTGATATATTGGCTAATATGCCCAGGCATAAAGCCACAAAAATAAACAAAAAAATGTAATGTCTCTTAAGTTTGGTTAGATCCTGCAAGAAAAAAGTCATAAAATCACACATCAACCACAATATCGGGAATACTCTGCTAGTATTATATACAGAGAGAAAATAGTAATGTCTTTTGGCATCAAACCATCTAGTCAACTTATTATTTTTAAAATTAATCACAAGACACAAAAGAAGTAAACTAAGGTATCTGATCTCAAGAAGCAGAATATAAAATTTATATTTCCTGTCATGCTTTTTAAGAGGACAGAGTAATCCTGCATTTATAACTCCCTTTTCGCTATTGTTTGTAACCTGAACACTGATAATTCTGATACTGATGATACCTTCTTATTTATATTTATGGAAATAGACAAAGACAAATGTAATAATAACAAAACAACTTTATTTTACAACATTTTATTTACTGGACACAAAATAGCTCAATGCTATTTAAAATAGGGAGGAATGGGTCCTCTTCTCTGTAGTTCCACCGCCACAAATATTCACATAAATATGAATATAGGCATTGCCTAGCAGTTCCTCAATGTTTTTTATTCTTCAATTTCACTGAGCCCCATAATCGTACTGTGTTGTGTACGGACCCCACCTGGAGGATCGACAAAGCTATACTGGTGATTCACTAGGAAATGGTTGTAGTTTGCTTCATTTAGTTGTTGGGTGTTGTATCCTTTTCAATAGTCAGAGTATATAATAGTTCTCTCTTCTATATTATTTTTAATACGTTCTAATAGTTTTTGCTTTTCTCTTTTATTTTTACAATGAAACACTCGTCTGTTTCTTGACAAACTCTCCCAAACATTCATTGATCAGGGAGCACTGTTCATACTTGATTTTTTCATTTAGAAAAAAGACTAGTCTATTTCAACCACTTATACGTTTTAAATAGAAAATAACAAAATTGACAATGAAATGAATTGAATAACGAGAAGAACGCACAAGTAACAAAGCAAAGACGAATGATAAGAAGAAGTTACATGCGTTAAGAAGTCACAAGTACCTAGATTTATTAGAAAGAGAGAGAAATTTTAAAGATGACAAGGATCTAAAATTCTATTGTAAAGATAAAATCACCACTAAAAATTAGGGTTTATCAGTAGAAGATATAAGGTAACATGTAATGAAAAGTAAATGTAATAATTATATATTTCAAGTATATAAAGATTGAAAGTTTTTCAATTAATATATAAGATTTTATTTCCTATTCTAACAACTTCATAAATACTACAGTAAAAATAACATATTGATTTCAATACATTATATACAATCCAAAAATAAATTCTAAAAATATATACAAACAAAACAATATTTTATAAACAGGAGAAAAGTAAGAAACTATAAGGAACATTTTATGATTTATATTAGTGGATTACTCCATAAAATAATTAAAATATTAAAAATGTGAATAAAATTATACACTTCTAATACTTACAGAGTATTTTTTATGTTTCACAGTTAATACCAATTGTTAAATATAGACCTTGACAATAGCTCCACTATGGAATTCATTAAAATAAATATCAAGAAAAAAAACTGTGTTCACTATCAACAATTTCATAGAAGAAATAAAATATTATCCTAAAATAACAGATTTGCAATTCTTACTTTAATAAATTACGTAATAACCAAACAGGTGAATAAATAGAAATGAGTGAAGTTATAGATGAAAATAAAGATCAAAGAGACATATTCAATACTTATGAAGATGCCTGATCACAGTACATACATACCTAAATAGAAACCCTCCACTCTATAACAATTTAAAAATAAGAAGAGCTCATAAATGCAATATCATAATACACAACCTTTAAAGTGCACACCATAACACCCATTATAATAGTGTCATGTTAAGTACTTCTTTGATACTTAATATAAATAACAATTATCTTATGAAGTTAATATAATCTCAAATTGAAAATTTAATTAATACAATTCTTTACAGAATGTAAACTATAATGCGGTGTCAATAAATATATATATATATCGGATTCCATAAAATAATTAGCGTATAAGAATAACAGAATCGGAATAAGATAGTAATAATTATAAATAATCTTACAATTATAAATACTATTAACATCACATTAATTAACAAATGATTACCAAATTATGATTGGTATGAATATCATTTTTACACTAAAAAGGTCTCTCAAATTCATCTTTGTTTAAAACATTGTTTTTAAGTTAAAAAAATTAATCTGAAACAGAATTTTCCAAAATATACACGTTTCTTTGAAACTATCAGTCTGTTGTTACCTCATCATTTGTCGAAAATTCTCTATCTCAAATATACTTGTAGATATCCTAAAAACAAGAATCAATCATATTATATGCCTTTCAAAATCTACAAATGACAAACAATGTAGATAGATAAATAAATATTTCTGAAAAGTGAAAATAATAAATATCTGTCTCAATATCACAGTAAGCTGCAAGTAGTAAACAAATAACAAATATTTGTTATATTTGTTGTTTGCTTTTCATAATTTGTCAGATATATAAAGGATGTTCTATAAAAGAATGAAAATATTTAAAGAGGTGATAGTAAATCTCTAGAGCTCTTAAAAAAATTATGATCCAATTTTAAGGATCATAAATGAATAATAAATTTATAAATATATAAATCCAAGAGGTGAAGGGAGATGGCGGCCCTATCGCCCGGCCATTATGCCGCAGATAGTCACTGGCCCTCCAATCAGACTACATTATACTTAAGGATTATATCCTGATTAACAGTGGAGACAGAACCAATAGATTGGGGACTGGGTTCATGATTAAAAAGAAATGGAAAGGAAGTATCCTGAGATGTGAAAACATTAGTAACAGGATTTGTTATCTAAGGATTAAAGGACGGTTTTGCAACATGTCCCTGATTTCAGTACACGCTCCAACTGAAGACAGTGAGGAAGAAGTAAAAGATAATTTTTATGGTACATTGGACATAATTTATGATAGGCTGCCAAGATATGATGCCTAACTGATCTTAGGAGATTTAAATGTGAAGGTGGGATTGCAGGAAGAATTAAAAACAACAATTGGTAGACACAATAGGCATCAAAAATTCAACGAGAACAGTCGAAGACTTGTTGATTTCGCAATTGGAAAACTATTGATAAGCACCACACATTTCCCTCACACGAACATACATAAGAAAACATAGGTCTCCCCAGACGGACACACAAGAAATCAGATCAACCGAGAAAAGATTATCCCATACAATGTCTGAAAATTCAAGAATGAAGAATTAAACGGGCATATGGTGAAAACTTTGACAAGAAACTCTCTGAATGTTGTGGAGGAACAGATGCCAGCAAAAGATGGGCAGACTTGGAAACAATAATAACATCATCAGCTGAGGAGGTTCTTGGGCACCAGCAAAAGCCAGGAAGACCAGAGTGGTTTGATGAGGATTGCATCAGATTAATGCAAGAAAGAAATGAAGCCAGTGGTAGGATTGACTACCTGAAGAAGAAGACAGGCTTACCGTGTTTACAATACTATCTAAATCTACTAAGACGAAACTATTCGAGGGCTAAATGAATTGTTACACTTTACCTGCCAAGAGCATTAAAAAGGGCAACTATTTCACTCCTTTCGAGCTTAAATTCTTTTCCATTCCCATTGTATGGCATCTTTTCAATGGTGTTAGGATAACCATTTTTTTCATCAAATTTTCCAGAAAACAGAATCTTCAAGGCAGTACCAAGTCCTTGCACCTAAAAATACATATATATATAAATTCAATTTATTAGCTATATGAAAAATTGAACAGTGATCTTTCTAATACTACAGAAAAAAAAAATTATTTACCTGGAGCTTTCCCCACAATTTACATTTTTCACAACCAACACAATCCATGATGCGAGAAATATTACGGAAATGTTGTTTGAATTCTTCTTTCAATTTTTGAGCTTGTGAACCACCATTGAACATTGTGCTTTCATTGAAGTGTTCTGGAAAAGATCTGTCAAAAACAGATAAAAATAGATTTTTTTTCTGAGAACTTATTCTAACTTAAGTATCAAGGTTTAAATTTCCTAGATTAAGAATTAATAACAGGTTTATATTCCTAAAGTAGGGAGAGGGGTAGCTTAGTGTATCAGCACTGACTTCCTAAGCTCAAGGTTCCAGGTTCGAATTCGGCTGATGTCAAGTAATTTTTCATCAGCCCTGGGGTTGGGAGACCCTCCTGGGGCACACTTAGGGTGTACTTTTAATTCCATAATTAATTACAGGGAAAACCTGGTGGATGAGGGTAATCCCAGCCTGATCACCTCCCTGCACAACCATTGGCCTTAAAACAGTATTTCCCTTACGAAGTACTGAACCGAAGACCCTTCATGGGTTGTGGTACAGATTTTTTTTTTATTACTCAAATTTGGCTGTCTACATCCCATCCGTTAAAGAAGTGTCCATTGCAAAGGAGTCTAAATGCTTTTACTTCCAGGATTTTTAAAAATCGTATGTATGAAGGGATGACAGGATTTACTGTCAGGGTGTCTACGAACCGGAGATTTTCGGACATTCTTACAAAAATTTGTTTTTTAAAATCATTTATTTTGTGTCAATAATTTGTTGGTATAATATTATAGAAAATAGAATTAAATAGTGAAATTAACTTGGTATAAATAAATTAACTATAGTTAATTTATAGTTGGTATAAATAGTGAAATTAACTACTCCACAGTTAATGAAAATTGAAACAAAATATTAAAATTTATAGATAACGACTTTCCCAAATGTTGTGGTGAATTTCCGGCTCCAGCCATACAAAATTTACTACATACTACCAATACACCCTACAGTTATTAAATTTTTTCTCTATATTCACTCATAATTTAGATAGAGATTTGAAAATGTGTATATGAATTTAGTTTGGGTCAGAGAAGTACCTTTTGGGAGTCTTATTGTTCCTGATGTACTATTGTAAAATTTGTATTTTTGAAAAATACCTAACTCTGCTGCCCAATAATAAAACCTCCATCAAAGTAAAATTTATATAAGATAATAAATTAGCTTAGAAAAAACACAATAATTTTACAACTTGTTGCATAATTTTATTACAAAAATTTTATAAAATGACTGACCTGATAATGGTAAGAATATCAATAATAGCATCCAATGTTTCCTTGTCTTCGACTTCCCTACCAGTATAATAATCAATACTAGAGAGGTAAGGTGCTGCCTTGTGAATGGCTCTCAACTCAAGAAGGTATAAGAAATAGAGGTTACGCAACCAGCTTGGCCCTTCTCCCTGACAAAAGATATTATCATTAAGACCAGTACTATAAGTGGGCATTCATCGTGAGCTACCAGGAACTAAAAAATATTGAAAGAGACAGAGTTGTGACTATAGTTTATCTCTTATGTACTCTAGAATATTTGTACATGTTTTCTTTTTTAATATAGATGATTTAAAAAAATTAATAACTGTTATTGATTAAATGTTGATAAAGATATTTTTATTTCTAAATTAGTTGAAATCAAAGTAAAGTAAAGTGAAATTAAAACACAAAAAAAAAAATTTACATCAAGATGAATGACATTCATATCAATACCCATAAGTATAAGCAACATGTGATAAGTATCTGAAATATGTATTTAAATTTGAAAGCTAGTCTTAAGTTTACCTATAAAATAAATATTTTTGAGCTTGCGATCCACAATTGAACATTGTGCTTTGATTGAAGTGTTCAGGAAAGATCAGGAAAAGATCTGTCAAAAACAGATATTAAAAATAGATTTGGTAAAAACTATTGTATATTTTATATTCGCCGGACACCAACAAAACATAAACATACATGGATCCCCACCAATACACCTCTTATTTCAACGTATTATAATGCACGGGAAATCCAAATGTAAAATGATGAGTGAATAAATTACAACATTTAGATGCTTATCAGTTTAAAAAAAAAATTAAAACTTGGTTTTAAAAATATTGTAGTAACTAACAAAAGTGTGTCATATAATTACATTATATTTATAAGATTAAAAGTCTGGGAAATACTTAAAATAATGGAATAGGTAAATTAAAGCAATCCATAGAACCTAAAGTAACTTTAGATAATTTAAAGTATTATTTCTGAGGTAAATATGTACCAACAGTCAATTGTTCACAGGCAAAGTGAAATGTACAATCAAAACAATAATTAGTAATTCTCAAATTCTGGGTATTTATTGTACTCGGTAGAAATTTTAAAAAATGTTATAACGACATTTTTTTAAATGTTATAATTTAATCTTCTGGGTAAATTCACAGCCACTTTCCCATACTTCTTTCCAGCTCTGTCCTTTCATATTGTTATAATTATTTAATTAAAAAAATTAGGATTTAATTGAGGTTTTACAAACATTTTTGACACAAATATAATTTTTCCAGAAATTCTTCAAAGTCTTTAAATTCTTCAAAATGTGATATTGGTACTAACGATTGAGTATTTTTAAGTAGTATGAGCTATTTTCAATTAATCTCTGTAATCTTTAAGATGAAATTCTAAGTATTCATTTTCCTCTAAGTGAATTATTTATATCAGATGCAGTACAATGGAATAACATAATGATAACAGATCACTACTATTTTTTAAAAAAAAAGGTTGTTCTTGTATTTTAATTTTTTTTTTTTTTTTTCATATAGAGCATTAAACATGTATAAAACAAAATAAATTTATATTATAAGTATTTTTAACTATTCTTGCATCATGCGATAATTTTCTGTTGATATAAGTAAGATTATTATTTATTATACGATATATTACATTATATCTACTCACCATTTATATTACTTAAATCCCTAATTGATAAAGATCGCTTCTTCTAAAACCTAAACATTAACTCGTTCTTTAATCCTTTTCTAGTAAACCTTGCAATAATTCCAAGTCTATTTAATTCAATATGTGTCTTAAGCCAAATAGTAATGTCTTTTTCATTTATTTCTAAATCGAGAATACCAACTAGTTCAGGTTTTTTTTATAATTTTGGTGACAAATTAATTTTCAATTTTTGTGACACCATGAATTTCCAAATTATTCACCCATCGTAATAAGAATTAAAATTGGTTCCTAGATAGTACTTCCATAATTATAAAATTTAATAATCCTACTGTAATTTCCAAGAATACTTTTTTTTTATAACATATTTCATAATTAAAATTATGAAAATCCTTTTCAATCTAAGGAGAGACTAAAAATTAATAATACCTTAGTTGTTTCAGGTCCAAATCTGTTTTTGAATTCAGCCAAGTTTCTTCCCCAGCGACCACCTTCTCCTTTGCCGTCAAAACTCAATGTTTCTATTACATGAAATGAAAAATTTCAAGCATGAAAAATAATTATATAATATATAGCACCAAGATATAATAATAATACTACAATAATGAGAAAGTATCAGATTTTTCACTCACATCAAAATATTAATTAACCCATTTTTTTTACAACAAATCATTAAATTTTAACAGAGATAACTGAAGTTTAGAATGACTAATAGAATAACCTACAAAAGTTTCTTTCATTACATGGTAAAATTTTAAAAGCTATTTAAAAAATATGAAATTTAGTAAATCATTCAAACACAAGATTACTGCAACATTTATTGCATGATTTATTTCTCATAGGAAGCTCATTTCGCAACTGAAGTGTCATTTATAGAACAAGCAGTTTTTTTATATCACAAGTCATGGTCCGCAGGGCTTAGTGGAGGTCTCATTGTGGCCCATGGGCCAAAAAGTTAGAGACCCCTGCTGTAACCCAGCAAGAATTCGAAATAGCAATCAGGAAAGTAAAATCATATAAAACAGCTGGAATGGACTATATTTCTAGTGAACCAATTAAAGGTGAAATAGAGTTTCTAAAGTAGATCTTTTAGGAAAAATGATCTGAGAAATAGTTCAGTAACTTGTACATCATAAGTTGCATCAAGTGGTAGTAGAAGATTGAATTGAAGGAAGTTTGTCGACTCTTCTATATATCATGGATGATAGTCAGGACGCAATCGGTTTCCAGATTTTTATTGCAGTTTCAACCCAAGCTTGTGAGTCATCATCAGGTTATTGAGGTAAAAAAAACTTAGATTTATCATCTGTCATATTCTGTACAAGAAAAATAATAAGAAACCTTCTACGACCACTTGACGTAACTTGGAACTTTTCATGACAGCTATCATGTTACCATGGAGGCTATCAATGGTTTTGATTCAAGATAAAACTATTTAACTGTTGATGTAATTATTTTTATAACTAATATTCCAGAAAAAAGTAGAATGTTTCATTTTAGTTCACCAGTCTAATGATTTCATACATTGTATTATTCTACTGCTTAGTCATATGACTAGCAAAAATTCACATATACGGTAAAAAACTGATTTCATAAGAAGAAAATTGCACCAAAGATAAGATACCAGTTTATTTTAATTGCATTACTTTAAGACTTAATTGTATGGTACTGGTGCTGCTGGGGGAACTAGTCCGGAAAGTGGGCCAATGTTCCTTTTTGCCAATCCCTTACGGCTACAGCTTTCTTGAGGTTACCGCCACATACTTCCTAGGGCCACCAAGAAATGAAAAGTAACCGATCCAGGTGGGAATCGAATCCAAAACGTTCAGAACCGGGAACTCTGGAACCCACACCCCCTTATGGAAACCACACGTACTTGGCCTTCCTGTCCTCTAATTGCATAGTAAAACTGACGAATGAACACAAAAAGATCTATTGGATGGAAGAAAAGAGAGCAAGATATAGGCCTAGCTTATTCATAAATGTTATGTAGAACTACAAAAGAAGAGTATTAATTCTTAATTGAAGAACCTAATTCAGTCTAAATCGATCATGCCACTCCAAAGTTCTTAATCTCCAAGTTTAGAAAATATTGTCACTTTTATTATTTCTTATCTGATATGGCATTTCTCTTGAAAAATCAGTTTTCATAGGATGTGATAGAACTGAGCTCATTAAAATGGAAGACAGATTGTTCAATGCTGCAACAAGTTGTTTTACTCGGTACTAATTCCATTTTTTATCAAAATAAAGATTAAGTGACAAGAAAAAGAATTATTAATAATTATTTTATATATTTTTCTCCCTTTTAACCCAGGGGTATCGAAACTTTTTGCCCGTGGGCCACATTGAGATCTCCATTAAGTCTCACGGGACAGAGTTTGTGATGAAAAAAAATGAGCTTATTCTATAGATGAGACTTTGGTTGTGAAATTCACTTTCTAAGGACAACTCATCCAATACAGGTTATAGTAACTTCATGATCGAGTGATTTACTAATTTTCATATTTTTTAAATTTTATCATGTAATCAAAGAAACTTTTGCAGGCCGTAGTTTGGTAACCCTTGATCTAATCGAATATCTTTATTATAGATAAATGAAACTTACACTTCTTAGAGCTTTTTTTTTACAAAACCATCAAACCCTGTTTTTTAAAAAAATAAATCTTCCACGAATGTGTAAAAAAACTCAGCCAAACTTGTAACTAACCAAAAGCTACAGATTCTCACCCAGTCTTAAAAATACACAAATAGTTACTATAGCTTTAAAATAGTTTTTATTCTTTATTCAACAAATCTATAAGTAATTACGTAACAACAAGAAAAACTATAGTAATAATTGTGCCTAGAAAGTATTTGTTAAATTTATTCAGTTAAAACATATTTAATATTTAAAAATTGAAAAATACCAGCAAGTAATAGTTTTTATTCACTTCACTCAATATTTTTTAACACTATAAAGGTTATATCTACTGCCGCTTATCTGTGAAGGTACTATTAGTCAATATACTTTTCATATTATGTGTACAACTTCATACATTTAATTGAAGAATTCATAATACATTAATATAAAAAAATAATCATAAATACTCACCAGGGAAAAGATAATGGGAACAAAGATGGATATTTATACTAGCATGAAGACCTGACACAACTCTGTAAAACACCCTTTTCTCCAAGCATAAACCTAGAATAGAAAATAAAGAAATAGTTTAGTCATCCATCACTTGATTTTCAAGGCACTAAATAGTTATTCTTACCATTAAGTTTTGATGTAGAAATGTAAGCATCGAAAGTATTTTTTGGCCTGCAATAAAAAATAGAATAAAAAAATGTAATTATGGATGTTCTAGTATTCTTGATATCAAATATTTGTTGGTATTAAAAATTCTTGAGACTAAAACAAGCTTTATTTTCATTGGGTTTCAGTAAGCAGACCATTTTCAGTTGATTTGGTGGTTTCAAGGAGAACTGTTCCTAATAAGTCATTTTAAATTCCTAAATTTTAAATTTTAAATCATTTGAATGTGCAATGTTGACACATCTCATTCAAAATTTAATATGGCTTATTAAGGACAGCTTGACTAAAACCATCAAATCACCTGAAGATGTCTTGATAACCGAAACATAATAAAAGTAAAGTCTTTAAGTGGTGAAATGTTTTCAAGTCTCAAGAATTTTTTAAACTGTGTGCGTCCCTTCACCTTAAGTATAAATATACTATAGTATATGTATGTCATTTCATCATTTTCATATTCCATTTGTATTGTTTTAAAATTATTCTGGGCAATCAAAGTGATCATTTTATGCCAGATATTAATAATCCATTTTACTTTGAATTATCTTATTTTCAATTCTCAATATCATAAACTATACAACTCAACATACATTATACAAATACTTTACCACTGGTATATTAAGGAATAGTAATGCCTTCGCACACATTTTTCATTACGAAAACTTTATTATGAACAAAAATAATTTAATTTTTTTTTGTAACATTGTCGACTAATTAACTATAAGGTTATTATGTCAATCAGGTAAGCTACATGACTCCTGAAGCAGAAGCAGCACTACATCAAGTTGTTATTTCATAGAGAATCTAATAAATCTCAACCATTACTAGTTAGAAAATAAAAGTTAGAAAAAGTAGAAAATACCACTCTTCCTGGCCAAATTAGAGTATTGTGTGTCTAAGGTAAGTTTGCCTGTAGAAGAAGGGAGCTTGGCAGCATTTCCTCTCTCAAGCTCTACCTCCCCTCCTCACCACAGGCAATCACCTCACACCGGGAAGGTATATTTCGATGTTCATTTTTATTCTAAATTCTAATTTCGCAAAATAAATGAAAAAAAAATATGGTGAAAGAAATTTTACCTCATAAAAAAAAAAAAATAGAAGTACATACAAATGAGTGAAGACAAAAGAGAGGGGGATCAGCGGAAAAACATTTTGCCAGTGTGCACTTGTCTCCCCTTCTACCCACCGGCAAACTTATCTTATATCTTAGATGGACTCTTTTACATAAAGGTTTTTCATTCAATAAACTAATAGAAATTAAAATAATAGTATGACTAAAATAATAGTATCTCTGTTGAAAAAAAAAGAAAAGAAAAGTTCAAATACCTAAAATTATAAACAGCATGAAATTGAAAATTAATTTAATTTTGAGTAATGATTCAATCATTAGGTATCAGGCCTCACAAGAAAGTGCAAATAAACAGTTTTTTTGAGTTATTAGTACCATTTAAATTTTCTTGGAGTTCTATAACTGTAAATGTTACAAAAATTACTATATCATACTAATGGAGACATTTTTATATAACACTAATAAACTCTACTTCAGTTTTATTCTTTATAAGGGTCAGTTTTTATTATCAATATCTAGCAATATAGGAGTGTCATCCCACGTCAATTTAACAGAAGGTTTGAACATCATCATTTCAGATTTTCTTGAAATTTGACGCAGTTATATTATTTGTAGACTTAAAAAAAATATGAAGTTTTACTAAGATATATCAACTTGTTTTTTAATTATACAGCTGTAAAGAGCTCATAAATGGACTCAAAAATAGAAAACAGGAAGAACATTTATAATTCGGCTATAGGTCAGGAATAGATGTTATTTTTCAGAATTTTAAATGCTCTTCCTTATCAGAGGGGCCCCGAAGGAGTTTTCACGGTGCAAGTTGCACCATACAATTTTTTGAAGGGGGCACATTTTGACAGGGTTGTGCATTATTGAGGAAGACACGTGTTGAAGGGGTTACGATTTCTTGGTATGAAAAGTTTCAAACCAGGAGGTTTGAAAACAAGGTGAAAACAGAGAACAGACCATTGCAAGTATAGTTATATATGATGTATGTTTTTTTAAAGTCTACTTTTGTTTGTACTGTTTTTAAAAAAAGGGGAGCAACAAAATATCTTGCGGGGAAGAAGGGGAGTGGTTCTTCTGGATGAACGTCATTTGCTAGAAAAAACAAGAACAGGCTATAAACAATTAATACCACCAGGCATCACGGCGTATAGTTCATCAATAATAGTTGAAGACATTTTATTTTGATATCTTCTAATTGAAGACCTATTGCATAGAGCCAACCTTACTGAGCCTGGTCTATGAACATATATGTGAGAAAACATCACCAAGGTGACCTTCAACAAAGGTTGTACCTTTTTCATTTATTGTATGGAGACAGGGTAAACATATGTAAATTAACCATGTTAATCAAGATTTTAAGAAGTTATTTTATGTTTATATCACCTTTTTTTCTCACATATAAATTAAAATGTTAACATTAATTTAAAAAGTACCTATGATTTATAAATTTGAATTTTATTTCGTATTATTTTTAAAGATATTCTTTGCTCTCATTTAGTTTTTATAATATTCCATTGATGTTTTTGTAATAAGGTGATAATTATTGTTTTTATTGATAATACTAAAGATATTTTTTGTTTTTAAAAGTGTGTAATGTAATAATAAATTTACAAATAATCAAATCATATATAATTTATTTGACCCTCAAATATATATATATATATATAATATTTTTTATATATTATAAGGAATTAAAATAAGGAAGAAAGATTGCAGTTAATTTTGATAAAGCCCCTTCCTCTACAGTGGTTATGGAATAATTTGTAACTACATTCCTCCACATCTTTTGTTTCACACAGTTCCGAATACAAAGAATTTAAACTCACATTGCAGGTGCTGGGGAAAGTGGTCCACCATATGAAACCCCTCTCAAAACATTGCTAGTCTTGGAGATGATTGATCTTGGAGATGTGACACAATAAGCTTTCTATTCCTTTTCTTAGGTTAGGTGAAACACCCTTAGCTTCCAGGGACTTCAAAATATTATCATGATCAATATTGTCAACAACTCCAATTACGTCTAAGAATGCGACTGCAGCATCTTTTTTTTTTGTTCTTAGCATCCTTAAGAACAGCCAAAATGATTCTTGAGGTCACGTGGCACCCCAATTGTCCAATCATGAAACCCCTAGTTGGTTGGGGTGAAATGAAATTTGCATCCGAAGCTTATGATCAAAAACCTTTTGGTCTTCCACGTGGTCTTTTGACTTCTATTGAGGCACTCATTGTTATGTAGAGGCTTCTATTTGAATTATTAGGCTTATTATTGAATTTTGAACATGTCGCACCCATCTTAAATTCTGTGCCTTTGTATCATATAGTATTGATTGACCAGTTTCTGTAAGCAGTTCTTCAATGGTCATTTTTCTCCATGTGTTAGTAGTCTGATCCCAGATTGCTCCAGTTATTGTGCAGAGGATTTTTCTCTCAAATCTTTCAATACTTTTTTCTAGAATGGTGATTAGTGTCCAGGACTCACAGCCATATGTTACAACTAGCCTAATCATAGCATTGTACACCCTTAATTTGAGATTTTTTGAGTTTATTTTAATACAACATAATTGTATTATATTGGTAATAACTAATGACTAAAAATTAGTCAGTAATTAGGCATGATTATTTTTTTTACTAATAATTTAGTATTGCAGCTAATTAAGATAAAAATTTATTTGTGCAATAGTTAACCAAGCAACATTAGATTTTTAAAAATATAATAAATAACAATTCAAATGATGATAACCTGAAACAATTTTCCATGTAAATACTTCTCCAAATGCGATGAGCTGAAGGACCCCTGTATCCAGTATACCTCTCTGGATTGAGAGAGAGATCAACATATTGCGCATCACCGTCATCATCTGGGAGAGTACAAAAATTGTCCTGAGCATCATCATATGCCTGCCATAATGCAAATTCTTCATATGCTTTAGCACTGAAACAAATCTATTATTCTAATTCTAATAGTGTTATCATTAATCTAAAATAAAAAATTGATGAAATTAGAAAATTAGTTAAGAATATATTTGTAAAAAATCATACCTGATAGTAGTGTTCAGATACCCCAGCTCATCAATGACATCAGAGTCACAATCCTGATGTTGGGACTCTTCAAGATACTAAAAATAAAGTAACTTATAAATTCATATAAAATTACCAATCACAAATATCAAAAAAGGCAGATTTTATTAGAAAATCTATAAATAAAGTAGCTCCAATCATGTTATCTAAAACAATAATGGGACAACTCAAAATATTAGTTTTCTAACTCAAAAATCTCAATTAAAATTAACCTCAATTAAAATTATAGTAAATTTCCAACTAAATGAATTTTTGCATAGGAAATGATATGAACATTTTTCAGTCCATACTTTTTTCCTTTAACATTAACCTAGATATTTCTGGCAACCTGGCAAAGGAGTCAACACTTTAACCTACGCAGGGACCACAACCTCTAATCCATCCAAACTAACATAAATTGAAAAATTGATCAAAAAGTCTAATTTAGAATCAATTGAGGAATTTTAAAAAATAGCGTTTTCCAAGGTCTCATTATTCTTGCAGAAAGGCAATCAATATATTATACCAAAACAGAGTAATCTAAAAGTAAATATCAAAAAATTTTATATGGCTATTTAACTATTATATTACTCATTAATTTTCAGCAGTGACAGTACTAGAGATATAATAACAAAAATAAAATAAATAAAAACGTTATCATAAATATTATGTTAAAAACACGATTCAGGTTTAAAATCAAATTGAACATGTCTTAATACAGTCGACCTCTAGCCTGATCCCAATGAACTATATCATTAAAAAACAGTAGAAATAAACAAGCAAACAAACAAACATTTTAAAATAATTGATCAAATGTGGGTCCTATATTATGTTGTTCCTTCGGGTAAACATGAAAATAGAAAGGTGTGTTCTGCCGGTGGTTTAAAAAAAAGTCTCATGATTTAGTTTTTTGCTTCTATGTACTGATGGAGGTGTAAATACTAAATAAATTAGTTGATTTGATTGTAATGTCCAAGATTCAGACACTCTAACCAATAGTTATAAATATTTGGACTCAGGGACTCTAAAACGTAAAATTGTTAATCAGGAATTACAATCATTTTCTCAGCTAGTAATGGTCGAAAGAAATAAACATACGCAAAAATCTGGTGTGGTGCGTACATCACACATCTTTCACTTACTATCCTTCTATAAGCAGAAATAGCTATTTTCAGACAAGGGGAAGAGAAAGTAAAAATCATAGATGTTAAAAAATATGTTTTAAACCTTCTCTAATATATTATATTAATGCTTTTTTTGCCACTAAGTATTTCCTTTTCTGTATGTATTCTTACATTTTAATTATAATCAACAATTAAGTCCAATAAAATATTTTTTAGTCAGACAAGAGTGCCATTGATAAAGAAGGCCGCTATATTTATTAATATTTCATTGTAGGTATTTTATTTGTTTAAGCATTAGTATACATATAAATTTTAATTTTTATATATATATATTTATTTTTTTTTTTTTTTTTTTTTTTTTGTTTTTTGTTCTTCCCTACCTCGCCTTTCAGGCTATACGGGATTTTCCCGGGCCGGGGGGTGAGGGCGGGGAATTTAAAATTCCCTCTGGCACCGGGACGCGAACTCGTACTTTTTATATCATCTCAAATCTCTGTTATCCGGTTGCCAGGCAACTAGCGGTGCTGTTACACACGCTTTAGCCTATTCGGCCACCCCGTCCCCTTAATTTTTATATTACTGTAATCTATAAAGTTAAATATTAAATAATAGCAACACTAGCATTTATGAAAACCACACATGCATATGTATGTATTATCGGAGCTCCCATTATAAAAGACGCATGCTACATATAGAATTCTATTCTAATCTTTTGGTTGTATCTAATTCATTCATATTTTACATTTAACCATTTTTGATATCAGGTTACAATGTGCAATAGTTATTTATTTCATATAAAAAAATATTAAAGGTACTTTAGAAGAAGAAATTTTAAAAATTAGATCTTTTAGAGAACATCAATGAGAATAAGACCTACATTATATTAAAAAACTACTCAATTTTACACTGATATAATGAATTTGATCAAAATCGTTAGAGCCGTTTTCGAGGAAATCGTAAAAATCTCTAAAATCGGGGATATAAAGATGCACTTCCAGTAAGTCGATTTTGACCAAAAAATTGGAGTAAGATACCAGTCATATATAAAACTTAAATAAGAAATTTCAATTTCGTATGACTTTTCGTTTTTGACCTAGGCTATTCACAGACACAAAAAAACACAAACATTAGAAATTTTCACGATCACAATACTTTCTCTTACTATATGCTATATATATATGCTAATACTGGATCAAATTTAATGATTTGTCCTTTGTTTTATACAGAATTTAATTACCTTTCAGCTGATTACATACATAACTTCCTGAGTAATCGATAAAGACACATAACAATAACTAAAATGCATTTTTTGGAGTCAGGAACTTAAGAGATCAGTAGAAAACAACACATCGGAAATTCGAAAAAAAACACATTTTTCAAACCTAGTAGTAACAGAGTAAACAAAGATTAAATAAAATATAAGATTAAACAGTTGAATTCATGTCCAATAAATAAAGAAAGAAAATATGAAAGAAAATATATACAGAAAATCTAGAGATGGATATATTGAGTCAATCTTAAAAGCTCGATATAATTCTGACTATTTGAGAGATCATGCAGTCTTCAACTATCAATTTTTGGGTTCCAAATAAAGTTTATACATTAACAGGTTTCATTAAAATAAATAAAAGTATTATTATAATTCATAATGGAAAATAAACAGATAGACCAAAATATAAAAAACAACGTGGCTAGATGCTATGAGATATACCCATATACTTCATTTTTTTTTTAAGTCCAAAGGGCGGAATGGCCAAATGGGCTAACGTGCATGCAAAACATGCATAGCCCAGCAATCTGATAAACTGAACGGGTTCCAACACCGGTGCTGGGGACTTTTAATTCTGGCATTAATCTGCCTCTCTCTCCCCAGGCCCAGCGAAAATCCTGTATGGCCGAAAAGATGAGGTAGGGTAGGAAAAAAAACATTAAAATAAAACAAAAAAGTAGTTTAAGTTCAATTATCTACTTATTAATTGTTGAATTTTCCTACCTTAACATACATTTCTTCATTGCTATAGGGGTGTTTTAAAATACGTCCCTTCAGGCCTGGAGGTATTTCTTCCTGTAAAAGAAAAAATAATCATACATAAAGTATTCATATATTTTCATTGAAAATAGAAAATCGTAGAGCTATAAATTATTATCATTACTGAATTATATATACACTAGCTGATGTAAGTGTCGTTGACGGGTGTATAGTATTGGGATGTAAGTAACTGCCTAACCGGGATCTTTAGACAATTACTACTCAAGAATTCATAACTTTGGTTCTACTCAATATTTTGTTTTATTTAAAGCCTATGTTTTAAGTCAAGCAAACCTAAATATAATGTCAAAATTTCGAAAGACTACCATTAGCCATTGCTGAGCTGACAAAATTTTGTTGGACAATGCGGACATATAGACAAACAATTTTTTTGAAATTGGATTTGGTGTCTGTAATGTATAAAACGGAAAGATATCATGAAATGGGTTGATTCAGTTCAATGTACAGACAAAACCTTTATTTTATTTATATAGATACATTGTCCCGTAAGTAAAGAGATATATTTAAAGGGGTGATAGAAGTTTATATCGACAATTATGCAGAACTTTTAAAAAAAATAAACTTGCTGATTGCTTAAATTATTTTTATGAAAACGTAAATATTAGATTTATGATTAACAATTTTGTTTTGGTTATTCAATATTTTATGGATATGTTCTTTCCAATAATACCTCTTTAATCCTACAATCTTAATTTCATTATTAAGATGTTCTAAGAAATTTCACCATATAATAAGTAACATTTACGAGAAAAATAATTTTTCATTTCAGAAATACCTATAATCCAGCAAATGAAAATCCTCTTAGCTTTTTTTTTAAATTTTTTTTAAATTGGTGTAAATATGGCTAATAATAAATTAACTTGAAAATAAATAGTATGCACCGAAGAAGAATTGAGTAATATTGTGAACTAAAATTTATGTTTAAAATAAAGAAACCTGTTGATTGCTTCAATTATTTCCATGAAAACATAAATATTTGGAACATTTAGTTTGTCACTCATCAAAAGGAATCTTATTCTTCTTTAGATTCTCCCTTTCATGCCTCTCAGCATTAGGAGTTGAGCAGCCAAGTACTCCACTCTTCTCTGTTCTTAGCCAGGTTTCTGGCTCGACAGAGATCTTTACCTCTTCCTTTACAGAGTCCATCAATGTACTCCAGATATGACATTCATGAGCATCCTCGAGGTTTTTTGCCATCTGGAGCGTAGTCCATCGTATTCAATGGGTTCCTATGTGCTCCCACCCTAATCACATGGCCAAACCATTTCAATTGCCAGATTTGCAGAACCTCCTTCAATGAGGCGATCCCCAGCAGACGTATACTTTCATTACGAACCCAGCCCCTCCAAGTCTTACAGAGTGTTCTTCGCAAAAACTTCATTTCAGAAGCAATGACTCTGATCTCTTACCTCTCTGTCAATACCAACTTTCATCTCCGTATAGAAGTATTGGCAGGTACACAGAATTAAATAAATGGAGCTTGACATTCTTGTCTACCTCTCAATTTCCTTCCTACTTGTAGTACCTTACTTTTGCTGGTATTGATCTGTATTCCTTTCCAGTAGAGTTCCTCATACCATTCAGTCACCGCCTGCTGCAACTTTTCAGCCGAATCAGTGACAAGGACAACATCATCGGCACACAGCAGAAGCTGCATCACCACTGGACGTAGGTTTCTTCTCCCCAGGAATGTCCTTTTTGTTCTTCTCTTACAGAAGGCTGCCACCTAATCCATATAAGTCCAGAAACAGTAATGGGCTTAAACTATCTCCTTGTTTCACACCCCTTGCCATGTCAAAGCAACCGCACTCCAACCCATTCAGCCTAACAACTCCCTTGGAGTGTTGATAAAAGGACTTTATAGCCTCCAATAAGTTCCATTTTAGCTCCAAAAGCCTCCCATATTTCATGCCTGGGAACCGTGTCAAATGCTGCTTTCAGATCAAGGAAAGCTAAGTATATATTTTCATCCTGATCCCAAGATTTCTGTAGAACATTTCTTAGGGAGAATATATGGTCCTGGTCTAAACCCAGCTTGCTCTTCCCAATAAGGTGTTCAACTAAGGGCCTTACTCTTCCTTCCAGCACAGTCATATAAAGCTTGTAGACCACTGGTGAGAGGCATATAGGACGATAGAGCATTCTGCCTAGGACCCTTTCTTGTGAATGGGTATAATGACATTGTATTCCCAATCAGTTAGGATCCTCTTCTAGTCCCAGGATTTTTGACAGAGTACTTGTAGAGATAAATATGGATCAATTAATGTAATAGAGATCTTCATAAAAAACACATTTTCATTATCACTTTAGATGATGAATATTCAAAACATCATTATTATTTTTATAAATAAAATGTTGATTTAGACAGTTATATTTATTATAATACATCCCAGATCATGGAAAAACAGGAAATAAAATCTTTGTAACAATTTATTGTAGTCATTTTTGTTGAAAACACGGATACTTTTAGAAGACAAGACATAAAAATCACATCATTTTTTTATATAACTTGAGGTGAATCTCAAGTTTTTTCCTAATAAAACTCAAATAAATTAATATGTAATTAAAGCTTATTAAAGGAAGGAAGTAGGGTATCTGTAGTATGGTTGGAAAATTATAAAAAAAATCACAAATAATTTATGATTTTTTAAAAAACAGAACTTAGCTTAGTTTAGCCACTCAAAAGTCGTCTTCTCTTTAAATGGTTTTAATCTAAACGAATCATCTCATTCAATCGGAAGAGATCTCCTGAGTCTATATTAGCAAGAACATTGAGTTTTCTGTTCATTATTTAAACTTTCACAGAAAAAAGGTAAGATGATAGTTGTTATGATTAATTTCAGTTATTATTAAAAGCTGGGGTGGTCCCCACCTTTTTTTCATCAATCATATTCTATTATTCCTAGCATACAATTAAACTTTTTTAATTTTCTAATCATTCATTTGTTGGAACCCCATAGTCCATTATTTTTATATATACATATATATTTTTTATAATAGATGATCTAGCTAGTTTATTTCAGTTATTGGAACATTATAGGCTCCTACTGATTTATGTTCATTTCATATCTGTGAAGTGGGATTAAACTTATTGGTTATGATATAGTCGATCTTATTTTATTGTCTTTTTCTAACGTCCATTTTCAATCTTCAGTTTTCTTAATACAGTATTCATAACAAAAAGATGGTGAGAAGTTGCAGGAATTTCAAAAACTAGAAAAAAGGAGTAACAACTGATAAGAAGTTCCCCGTCATGAAAGTCGGGTAATCTAACCTAACTATAAACTATCATTTAGAATAAGTGTCCTTTCCCCACCCTGAAAGCCTGCGGGCATTATTGAAATCAATACCATTTCCCATTACAATGAGTAATTTACAATTAAGAGTTATGGATCAGTAAGCTCTGTTTTCTTTCAGGCATATTTGGGTGTTTTTGAGAATCTAGGAGTATGCTCTGAGTGATGCTGAAACCAGCTGCCTCTTAGAGTAGGGAAAGAAAACAAATACCCATCATTAAAAAAATATGAAAATTATTATCAAGACTTTGGGTTGATTTTGAGTTAGAATTAAAGACTGAAATTAAGAGCCTAGCAGGGAGAGCATACTTCTCAATCAATTTATTTGTACAAAACCATGCAACATACATACTAAAACTAAATAATGTTACTTATTTAAAATAAATAATTATATTTAAAAACAACTTACATCTTTACATGGCTTTACATGACAAAATTTCATGGCACATCGGCTGTCATCAGACCAAAATGGACATTCTTTCTTTAAATTAACCTAATTAAAAATAATATATATTCATATTTGTGAATAACCACATCAGTAAAATATATATATACATATATATATAAACAAATTCTATAATTTATTATATATTTACCTTGTAAAACCTAAAGTAATCCTTGTTAATCAAACTTTGTAATCTCGGATATATTTTTATATTGTTGAAGTAGTCTACTGTATCTACATTGCAACTGCAATCTCCTATCTGTCCCTTAAGCTATAAAACACACAAAATTAAATTAAATACCTAAATGGATGTATTAACACTTACATCCTGACATATACTCCATAAATAAATAATATAGACCTTTCAAAATTGAGATGTTTTTTTGAAAGGCGAAGATTAGAGAAATATAAACCAAACTCATAACATGTTGCTGTTTAAAACAATACTAAAAATCTAAATGAATGTATTAAAAAAATAACAATTATCTTTCACAATGGAATTAGATGAGAGACATTACAAGAATATGAATTAATACCACAGACTTAGTAAAATATTTAAAACACTCAAGAGAACAACTGAAATTGAGTGTCACATCACTTTAATAGGCTGTTTCTACAATAATTAAATAATATCGTAGAAACAGAAAATAAACTGTAAGAAAACAAAGATCAACTAAAATTCAACAAATATTTGACAGCTGGGTTACATTGTAATCATCAGGAGAGAGAAAAACTATATAACCTTTAGTAACAAGCATATAATAGATTACAACAAAAAAACAATAATTCAAGGGTGTTTTTATATAGAGTTTATACAATATTACAAAGAAAAATTACATACATATGCCAACACAGCTAGTTTTACAGAAGCAAGTATATAAATAAATTCAACTCACCTTACAGAAGCAGTGATCTCCTCCAGTAAGCTCATTTGGTTTGAATGAACTGGAAACTACTGTTATGAGAATAAATTCAATAAAAATCTTTAGAGGTAACATTGTTATGAAAACTTAATAGTCTCTTAGTATTTCTATTAGAATTAGTAGTCATGTACACTACGACTAAAGAATACCCTATGAACATTATCTAAAATAGCTTGTTTATAAGGGAATCAAATCATCCATTACTAACAAAAATTCATACGATAACGACTGTGATCTGTCACTAAATTTAAATTACCATAAAACCTGGTTTAAAGCTAGAGTTAGTTGAACCAGCGGCAGAGTGCACTGCTTACAGAAAAGCGGAATTTTTAAAAATAGGATGCAAGAAGTCTAAAATAGGTAAATTGAAGGCAATTATTTTCCAAGTTGCTTAAAAAGTACCAAGGTGAAGTTTGTCAGATAAAAGCCAGTAAGACAAACTAACCGGCAAAATGAGTACCCGGAGTTATATAGTTTACGAAAGAAGGATTCGTAAGAACAACGAACAGTGATAATCCACGTATACTCTGTCTAATGCGTCATCGAGGAACGTGATTCTAGTCAGCTTCCTCACTTTTTCCTTTCAAACTATTGGGGAAGGTCAGAATTATTAATAAAGCTCTCAATTGAACGGATATGTAATGTTGAAATAATGAGTAATTTTCACCAAATAAGCTCTAAGTTACTTATTTTGAATGATGTCAATTTAATGATTTGAGGAACAACAGAGCTCGCAATGAATTTGTATTCAATTCATATATATATATATTTAATGTTTAAATGTCAATTTCATACTCCCAAAAATGTTAATCTAAAGATTAACAAAAAGATCATAAAACATACATTACACAAAAAGGCTTTAAAATGAATCTCAGATTCAGCAAAAAGCCAAACAAGCAAACATTTTGTAATAATACATATCCTTATTCATAGGGGCTAGGAAAAAAAAAAAAAAAGTCAATTTCATAATGATGTACTAAAACCAAATTTGATTTATACAAATACATCTTGTATTAAGAAATATCGTTATATCAGAAGAAATGTTTTCACATCTTAATTATTTTGCCACCTAATTATAGTAATATTATATGGATCATTTCGGAATTTGAGTCTCAACTTTATAATAAAAACATTTAGAGAAAAAGCTTATTTCCCTCACTTTAATCGTTTATTTTCCCAATTTACTTGGATTTCTCTATAAATTTATCCGTATTTACTTCCTCGTTTTATCCAGTAACTAATGTGAGCATACAATGTCAGTCAACAAATATCCCAAGAATTAAATTTTAGTTTTAGATTTAGATTGAATGAAATAAAATTACAAAAAAATGTTATGCAAACTTTTTATAACCAAGTAATTAATTAATGACCCGTTATCATTAATGAATTCCCTTTCCCCTGGCTCAGGAAAAAACCGTATACCCTAAAAGGGAGGAAAGGGAGCAAAATATAAAAATAAGTGGAAAACTGTCACACAACCTTCTCGCTAAAGCTAAACGCCCGACATTAATTAATAGCTACATAAACTGGAGCGACTATATGTAACCCTTAGCTATCCCCAATCCTTAAAATGCCCTCGGGCAGTGGAAGGAATTTATTGCATGTATATATTGTATTATTGTATACTATATATGTAATTGTTTCAATAACATTTTGGAGGGTAAGAGAAAAAAAAAAAAAAAAAAAAAAAAAAAGACTTTAAAAAATGAACGACCATGAAAATGGAGCCCACGACTTTATGAATATATAAAACAAGCTGTTTGTCATTTTATGATACCAGCAAGGGCATATACTAACTCTGAATCTTACATACCTCTGCTCATAGACTAGGAGCTACCGACCATTTCAATTGACGGAAAGACTTAAAGCTAGTAACCATTTAAAATTCTAGATAAAACTCATCTGAACACACAACTTCGGTCAGTCGGTTGAAAGCCGTTGCTTTATCATTTATAAGCTCTTCTATATAAAAATTTAAATTAAAGAGACTAAATTTGAAGTTTCATTTAGCGGTAGAACAGACAGCTAAAATTTGATATGATGTCAGGAATACGTCTCTAAAAAACACAAGCGGAACCAGGATTTTATTTTGGGGGGCTTCAGCCTGAAGCTTATTTTTTTTTTTTAATATAACGATAATTACTTCGGAAGAAAAAGAAAGAAACTAACTACCTATTTGAAATGATGTTTAAGTGATTCTTGAAGTCCTATTAAATGTAATTACACGAACAATAATACTTTAAGAGATAATTTTTTTATATTTTTTCCATAAAACATAGTTATATTTTACCATTTTTGGGAGGAGGGGAAGGGGAGAGCTTTAGCCTACTCAGCCTATATACACGGTGGGCCAGACCCCTTACCGTGCACCTCCCCCCCCTCCCCACATCCCTATAAATTGCATATCGTTGTGTTCCTTGTAACAATTTATTAAAAAAAAGCCAATGTTCCCACAAAAAAAAGTGAACGCACTGCCCCAAAATGGCGTCCAAAGATGGCGGATTGACGACTTTGACTTTAGTTAGTTTTTTGGTCACTGAGAATCAGCATTTAGCTTAATTTCCTCATAGTTGGTCTTTTATTAAAGCTGAATAGTCATAGAATAATAAAACATGAAGAAATATTAAAAAATAATTGGCTTAGGCTACGAAAAACACCAGTAAAGTCAAATTTTTTAACAAAAAAATTTTCAAGTTACAAATCAAGCGTCGTTTGTAATTAAACGGCCAACAATAACGCAAAACGTGCTGAAATAAAACATCTGGAGAATATATTTTTCTTCTAAAACGCTGATTATTTTTTAAAAATTTTAAGTGGTTCCGTAGAAAATGTATTTATGCGGCAGAAAAGCGGTACTGGCGTGGGTGCCTACAGGCCTCTACCACACCATTCAGTACACATAAATGGCTTAGTTATAGTGATATAATAACATTTTTGGTACATTATATTGGTTTTATTAACGAACAAATATTAATGCAATAATTTAATCGTAAAAAAAAAAATTAAATTTAAAAAAAAAAAATTATTATTATTTTTTTTTAATTTAACCTACTTTATTCTATACGTAGGTCGTTTAAGAAGACCTCAATTGTAAAAATGATATAATGATAATAATAAAACTTAATTAAAAAATACATTGCTAAATATCTTGATTTTTTTTTTATATAACGTTTGCAATTTAACACTGTGTTTTGTATATTTACTTATTCTTAGAGGTAATTAAAATTTTTATATACTTCCCAGGAAATGAGTCATATTAATACCGGTTTTATAAACTAAAATAATATATACCTAATCTGAACTATGTATAATGAATAGCTACCGGGTTGTTTAGTAAAACTCATATATCACTAATTAAAAAAAAAAAATTTTATTTCCTTTATTTTGTGCAGAAGTTGCACTATATCATAAATGAATAGGAAATTTTAATATTGAATAAATTAATCTCCCTGCACAAAGAAAGATGAAAACGGTGACGCTATAAGTTCTTCTATAAATCAGAACTGATTGTTTGTTTTTGGTATCAAAATGAGGAAAAATGCAAAATTGAACCAGAAAATTGGAAAAATACAGTAAGCGAACGGGAAAGAAAGTGCAAAAACCTCGGAAAAGATAAAAAGGACATCAGTATCCATTATATAGCTAAATGAATGTTTAGTAGACAGATGAACAGAATATTTCAAGATGCTGCTAAAAGGGGGTCAATTGCAGTTTGGATGACATTAAGTGGACGATGTAGGTTTATTATGGTGCAAAGCTCTTTATTTTTGATTGCTGAAGGTGCACATCGGGACTATCTTCACTTTGAAGCAGGATAAAGAGAGGTATATCGAGAAAGTTATAGCTCATAGTTCTGTTTAGTGCATTTGCAAAAGATTTTTTAAGGAATCTTATATTAGCTATAGCTCGTTGTTGTGTAGAAATTGCGGAATAAATTGTTCGGAATTTGTACCATATCATAAAAAAATAAGAGCGGTATATCGAGAAAGTTATAGCTCATAGCTCTCCTTCTGTTTAGTGCATTTGTAAAAGATTTTTTAAGGAATCTAAAAGGAAAACGAGCTTTTCTGAAAGACAATTAGATATTAGCAAAATCCAAAGTGTGAGGCACTAAGCAGATAGAGAGCTATTTTTCTTTTTATATGGACTTCTCTATAACCTGCCTTAAAGTGAAGACAGACCCAATTTTCAACTTCTCTTCCAATGTGCAACTTGAGTTTCTCAATCCATATCGCTCTGACAATCGACAATACTTCTTATTCCAGCTTTTACGATTCTTGAGTATAATTATTTTGGAACACTAAACAGAAATGGATCTTGATGGGTATTACATTTCCTATTATGTCCTTTCTTGTAAAGGTAAAAATCACAGTCGTTTCATATCATTTTATAACATACTTGTTGCCTATGTACGCTCAAAACTGTGCGAAGCATTTCGGTTTCGCCCTTTCAATTTCTTTGTGCAGAGAGAATAATGCATTCAATATTATAATTTCCTATTTTTTTATGATATGGTACAAATTCCGAACAATTTATTCCGCAATTTCTACACAACAACGAGCTATAGCTAATATAACTTTCTCGATATACCTCTCTTTATCCTGCTTCAAAGTGAAGATATCACTATAACTAAGCCATTTATCTGTACTGAATGGTGTGGTAGAGGCCTGTAGGCACCCACGCCAGTACCGCTTTTCTGCCGCATAACTACATTTTCTACGGAACCACTTAAAATTTTTAAAAAAAATAATCAGCGTTTTAGGAAGAAAAATATATTCTCCAGATGTTTTATTTCAGCACGTTTTGCGTTATTGTTGGCCGTTTAATTACAAACGTAGCTTGATTCGTAACTTGAATATTTTAAAAAAAAAAAAATTGACTTTACTGGTGTTTTTCGTAGCCTAAGCCAATTATTTTTTAATATTTCTTCATGTTTTATTATTCTATGACTATTCAGCTTTAATAAAAGACCAACTATGAGGAAATTAAGTTGAATGCTGATTCTCAGTGACCAAAAAACTAGCTAAAGTCAAAGTCGTCAATCCGCCATCTTTGGACGCCATTTTGGGGCAGTGCGTTCACTTTTTTTTGTGGGAACATTGGTTTTTTTTTAATAAATTGTTACAAAGAACACAACGATATGCAATTTATAGGGATGTGGGAGGGGGGGAGTGCACGGTAAGGGGGTCTGGCCTACAGACTAATACGCCTTCGATTCCATGCACTTTAACACCTGCTTAACTCTCTCACATATTAACATGTTTAAATGAGGTATATAGGAAATTTAATGTTCTTTCAAATTGACTTAGGTCAAGGAATAATGTATATATACATTCATAGATGTATGTTGTAATTAGTGTTAAATAAAGTTTCTGGGGTGTCAGAAAAAAAAAAAAAAAACTTTCATATTGACTGTAAT